GTCACCTTCATGTTACCGTCTATCTCAATATACGTAATGGGATTTTACGGCTTTGGACCCGTAATCCCATGGTTAGTGTGACTAAAGAGGAGGCGTTGGGATGTGCCAAAGACTACCGCTGGATGAACCTTGCTTCGTTTGCGTATGAATGGCTTGTCCGAAATGGATACATCAACTTTGGCTGTGTCGAGATACCCCCAGCCTTGGTCCCCCCAAAGAAGGGTCGCCGGAGCGAGGGGCCCGTGATTGTTGTCATTGGGGCTGGAATGGCAGGCTTGGGCTGTGCGCGGCAGCTAGAAGGTTTCTTCAATCATTACCATGATAGTTACTCCTCTCCCCGTGTTGTCTTGCTCGAGGGGAGGCGCAGAATTGGGGGGCGTATATACTCTCATCCGTTACGAAGTCTTCAGTCCCCTACGCTACCCGCGGGCCTTGTTCCGAAGGCCGAGATGGGTGCTCAGATCGTTGTTGGGTTTGAGCACGGTAATCCATTAGACCAGATCATACGAGGCCAGTTGGCGCTTCCGTATCATCTGCTACGTGATTTATCTACCATTTACGATGTAGATGGCTCCCCAGTGGATGAAGTGCGAGATGCAACAGCTGAAAGTCTCTATAATGATATACTAGATCGATCTGGAGCATATCGACACAAATCGGTCATAACACCGACGGCAGAAGGGGATCGCGAACTGATCGACTCAGGGCGTGACATAACAACGAGTGACGGAGTCACAGTAAAACAGTACGAAGAGGCAAGGGCGGCCGGAACTATTGGCCTACTGCTTCCGGCGAAACGCCTTCGTCGCGGTGTAGGCCACAAAACGGCTGATATCAAGTCGGCTGCAGTTCCTGCGGCGGATCTTGACCAGCCAGAAGAAAACCCAGCTACCGTTGCCTGCCAGGCGATGGGCTGGGAACTGAACGAAGGGGTCTCGCCGAACCAAACCGTTAATTTAGACTCGATTGCAAAAGCATCAGAGACCCAAACCTTGGGTAACGCAATGGATGAGGGCGTCCGTCAGTACCAGGAAATGTTACCGCTAACTCCCAAGGATATGCGGCTGCTCAATTGGCATTTTGCAAACCTTGAATATGCGAATGCCACCAATATAGGCAATCTGAGTCTTTCTGGGTGGGACCAAGATATGGGAAACGAGTTTTACGGGCCACACTCACAGGTTGTCGGAGGGTACCAGCGAGTACCTTACGGACTATGGCAGCACCCAACAAAGCTCGACGTCCGCACGAACAAAATAGTCTCGCGTATTACATACGACACTGCCGAAAAACACAAAACGGTGGTACAATGCGAGGACGGCGATTCAATTGCCGCGGATATGGTAGTTTACACTGGGTCTCTAGGCACCCTGAAGCACCGGTCTGTGCAGTTTTCTCCGCCTCTGCCTGAGTGGAAACAGGGAGCAATTGATCGGCTTGGCTTTGGGGTGATGAACAAAGTAATATTAGCATTCGAGCAACCTTTCTGGGACACCGAAAGAGACATGTTTGGCCTTCTACGAGAGCCGAATAACAGGGAAAGTATGGTCCAAGAGGAGTATGCCACGAACAGAGGTCGCTTCTACTTGTTTTGGAACTGCATGAAAACCACCGGGCTTCCGGTTCTGATCGCTCTAATGGCTGGAGATGCCGCTCATCAAGCGGAATGTACTCCTGATGCTGAAATAATCGCTGAAGTCATGAGTCAGCTGCGTAACGTTTTCAAACAAGTGGCTGTTCCAGATCCTTTGGAGACTATCATTACCCGCTGGGCTAGCGACAAGTTTACCAGGGGAACTTACTCCTATGTTGCAGCAGACGCACTTCCAGAAGACTACGATTTAATGGCCAAACCAATCGGCAACTTGTATTTTGCAGGCGAGGCCACTTGCGGCACTCACCCGGCCACCGTCCACGGCGCATACCTCTCAGGACTCCGAGCAGCATCCGAGATCATCGACTCCATCCTAGGCCCTATCCCGATCCCCAACCCTCTCGTCCCAGAAAAGAACAAGGCCACAAACCCAAGCATGTCCAATGGCACCCCTCTCGGCACCCCGCACATCCCACTAGACACCGGAACCCCAGAAATCCCAATTCAACAACAACCGCACCCATCAACATCCAATTACCCCGACTCCGCCTCCCGGGCCTCCTACGACCAAGCCATGCTCGCAGCCATTTACACAGAAACCGGGCCCCCAGTCCCCCGCCCCGCTCGGACAGGCCTTAACCCCTTCCTCCTCTACCAAAAGGACTTCTGGCCAAAAGCCCGCGCTCAATGCGACGCCACCCACCAACTCGAAACCAACAACCCATCCACAAAAGCACCCCGCGATGCTGTCCGCGCGGCCCTAGGCCTCATGTGGCGCCAGGCCCCCGAGGAAATAAAACGCCCGTACCTCGAACAGGCGGAAGTCAACCGGCAGACAAATGCCGAGATTGCGGCGAAATGGAAGAGGGATAACGCTGAATGGGAGAAGAAATCGGCTGCGGCGAAGAAGCGCTGGAGAGAGGAGAATCCGTTTGAGAGATGGCTTGCAATGGAGGCGGGTGAGCCGCCTAGTAAGAAGGTGAATAATTCTTTTTCTGCTTCTTCGTCTTTGAAGAACGATGTGACCGGTGCACCTATTGCCGGCACTGCTACTACTCCGACTGCATTACCCACATACTTAGCGGGAATGGATATGCAAAATGCAGCTGTCAACGAAGCCTTTGATGGCGTTGGTAATAGGGCCGGCAATATTGCGAATACTCCTACAGCTTCCAGGATAACGAATGATACTGCCCCAGCACCAGTGACGAATATGTTTCGTTTCTCGAATACTCAACCGACCAACTTTCCACGGGCGACTGATCAACCGAATCATATCAATTTTCACTGATTGATTAGGGTCTTGCTACCCGACTGAGGCGTTGATCTTTGTAAACCTCCATTTCTATCTACCACTAGTGGGTTGTGGATTATTTTGTATTAAAGATATATCCTGTTATTCCTACCTTATCTTGTCATACACGAGTCATGAGATATAAAATAGAATATCAAGCCGAGTCAACGAGGTCTCGAGATTATTCTATGACGTTCTATTCTATTTATAGGCTCACGAAATGTAATGCTATAATCCATGAGGGACGATATCCCATCGCAGCACATTACCACCAACTCAGAACCAGAATCAACCGAAAACAGAAAACGGAATGTGATATGTAAATGAAATAGGTAGAGAAAACGCTGAAGTCTAGTATAAATCCAGGAGAGGCAAAGATATCATGTGAGTGACGGTCTAGATGATAGAAAGGTTCAGGTGAGGTTCGGAAGCCTCAAACCGTGAGATGAGCAGACCGGACAGGACGGAGGCGCGGGAGGAAAGCGTATAGGAGGTTGTAGTGGCGTGTATTTACAGAGCGGGGTTGGCGTGAGCAGCGGGGAGCTCTCCGTTCGTCTCATTCTCGGCAATGAATCGTTCGGCCTCGAGAGCAGCAATGCAACCAGATCCTGTGGTGCTGTTAGTATTCGTTTTATTTGACTTTTTGAAATGTGAATCAACTTACCAGCACTAGTGACGGCCTGGCGGTAACGCTTGTCTTGCACATCACCGCAAGCAAACACACCCTCGCGGCTCGTCACGCTGGTACCAGGAACAGTGGCGACGTAACCATCCTCATCGACGTCAATCTGGCCCTTGATCAGAGCAGTGGCAGGGTCGTGACCGACGGCATAGAAGAGACCGTTGGCATCAACAACTTCCTCCTGGCCAGTGACGGTGTCCTTGACGCGGAGGTGGGTCATCAAACCGTTCTTCTTCTGCTCACCAAGAACCTCGGTAGCGACAGAGTTGAAGCGGACCGTGACCTTGGGGTGGGCCAGCAGACGGTTGGCCATGGCCTTGGAGGCACGGAGCTTGTCACGGCGAACAAGCACGGTGACGCTAGAGCCGTACTTGGCCAGGAACATGGCCTCTTCAGCGGCAGAATCACCACCACCAATAACGTAGAGGGGCTTGTTGCGGAAGATGGGAACAGCGCCATCGCACACAGCGCAAGCACTAATACCGTTCTGCCAGTAGACCTCTTCACCAGGCAGGTTGAGACGGCGGGCATTGGCACCGGTGGCAATGATAACAGCATCGGCGGTGCGAGCAGGCTCGTTGTCGGGACCGTCATTCCATTCCGTCCAGAGCTTGAAAGGTCTCTGCGACAGATCGACCCGCGAGATTGTCTCCGTGATCACTTCGGTTCCGAATCGGATGGATTGTTTGCGCATGGCATCCATGAGCTCTGATCCGTTAATGCCGTCAGGGAAACCGGGGAAGTTCTCGACATCGGTGGTGGTAGTAAGCTGGCCACCTGCGGCGGTGCCGTTGGCCAGCATACCCTCATAGAGGACGGGCTTGAGCTCTGCACGCGACAGGTAGATCGCGGCGGTGTGAGCGGCAGGGCCAGAGCCGATGACTGTGAACGGTTAGTCAATCTTCTTCTGCAACCCCAATTGCAAATGTAAAAGTGTATACATACTGACTACTTTGGTGTGAACCATTCTGGATGTGGAATTGACGCGCAGCGGCGTCGAGAAGGAGTTGGAAAGGACGGAAGGTGAGGTGGGCGAGTTGTGGAGATGCGATGAGACAGCTGCAGCGGAAAATCCCAAAGAGGATCTAATAGAGGAGAAGGTAAACCGACGAAAAGTTGAGGAAAACAGATTGGCGGTTGTAAAAGAGTAAAGAGGCGAAGATAGAATGGAAGGAGGGGGGCTTTTAATTAGGCACGAGGGGCAACAGGTGGGGACGAAGCACGTCGGCAGCAAAAGAGGGCTGGACAGTCGAGATTAGCTAAGAGGCAGAGTCTTCTGGACGAAGATCAGATAAGAAAGCAATTGAGAAGCGAGAACGCAGAAAACGGCCCGTTTATTCGTGATCTCTAAGCAAGAGTGGAAATCCAACAGGTCCCGGCATTTTCCAGCAGAATTGTTCACTGAGCCGAGTCACGTGCCAGGCCGAGACCGCCGCTGATTATCAAGATGATCTTCACCTGACTCTCTCCGTCCTCTCCTCCTCCTCCGTCTACGCCTTCCAGTCCGCGGCAAACTGCACGTCATTAATCACCACAGATGAACCCGCCCGGAACTCGGAACACAGAACTTACATTCCAAGCATCAATCCTCAGCACCGAAGAGTTGTTCCCAGACTCGACGTTGGTCAATCTCCCGATCGCTATGCCGGCTTAATAACAGACCCAAACTAAACTCGCTCTCGCCACTCGGAACAGAACTCACCAACAACATTATTCAGCCAATAGTAGTTGTCATGCCCAGTCTCAAACACCAGCCGCAGGTGCAGGTTCCCCGAGGGCGCCTTCGGGCCTGACGTCTGTACAAAGATGTCCGCTCCATCGCTAGTGCGCAGGTTATACCGTGTGTCGGCGGAGAAGATCTCGGTTTTAGGATCCACGGTTCCCCAGTCTGCGCCGACGTCCAAGATGCTCCCTAAAACATAGAACTTAGACACGATATGGAAGCTGGCCGGTGGATTGATGTTCTACACCGTACGTACCAGACAGTCGTGGACCGGTGAAGTTACCCCCGACTATGGGAATTGCCCTTCGGATACCGCGCGGTCCGTCTTCGTTCATCAACGATCCCTTGCAGTACACGAAGGCTGTGTAAAGGTATGACAGCTCCGGTGGCTGGGGAGTAGCAGCAGTAACGACTGGGGCTCCAGAGAAGCTCTGGACTGTCAGCGCCGCCAAGGCGAAGTTGCGTAGTTGGGTGAACATTCTGTCGTAGAGTAAGTTGGAGCTTGAGTCTCGTAGTTGTGGTTGGAATGACAATTTTCAATGAAACCAGCGTGGGCACATATGAACGGCAATTATATATTGTTCTTCACCAGGACAACATTCCCTACTGGTGCCAACGCTCGGTATTTATAGCCTGGCGTTATCGTATAAAACCCCGTGGGGAAAGATACCTAGATACGGTAGTGGACTTTTACATTGATATTCAAATGGCATCATAGTCCCGTTAACTCCTCACGCTAGTTACATGTCTCCAGGGCTTGTGTAAATACTTGCCTAGGTAGGAAATGAGCAATAACCCAGAACGCCCTTTAACACTAGCCAAATTCCGAAACAAAAGCCGTGAAAAGGCGTTCGGCATACAGGTTTTGGTGAGTACCGGGTTGGACTTGAAGACCCGAGGCATCGCACAGGTTTCCGTAGGGAGCTGGGAGGGGAAATGGACATGATCTGACTCAGTGCAGGCCAAGTCTCCAACTCGGAATGTCCGAGTGTCACCAGAGCTTTCTTATTGTACCTTCGCTGGGTACTACCCCAAGCATACAGAAAAGATAAACAAAAAGATTGAGAAAAATATGTAGCAGACCCCATCCAATGCATTCATTGGTATATACACAGCGGATCGTCGCAATCATTAATCATCAGTCATCTCTAAATACAATCAAGTCATAAAAATATAGGCATAGAGGCATCAAAATGTACTTTTCCCCGCGGCCGTCACGACCTCCCAAACCACTTCTTAATGCTTGTGCTCCGCTTCACATTAGGCGCGGGCTCCGGCTCCGGCTCAAAGGAAAACTCGGAGTCGTCTTCATCGTCGTACTCGTCATCCAGAGCTTGAGGTGCGGGAGTAGGTGCCGGTCTGGTGCCTCCTGATTGAGGGTGAGGCACTGGGTGAACCACTGCGTGGCCATGAGCGGCAGCCTGGGGGCTTTCTTGTCTGGGAGCTAGAGCTTGGTCTGGAGTGTCGTGCTCCTCTTCGTCGCTATATTCAGCTTCGGCTTCATCTTCGCCATCCACCGAAGGCTTGTTCGAGGCGTTCCTCCGCACACCGAGCCACTTCCGCCAGCCCTTGGTAACTGGTGCGGCGGGAGGGTCATAATCGGTTCCTTCAAACCAGAGCGCAGGGATGAGGAGCTTATAAGGCGTTGTGATACCCGATGGGTCCTTCGGGTTGAGTTCCAGGTTCAGGGTCACAGCCAGCCCTCCCTCTAAATTAACGAATGTACCGGCACCATCATCTCCCCGCTTTGACGCCCTCTTGCCAGCCTTCTGGCTTAGGTTTGTTGGCCGGCGGAGGAAAGGACCAGGTCGTGGGTCTGTCGTTGGCGGGAAATAGGAATCGCCAGCTCCTGCCGGTGGGAATGGCCCATCCATGCTTACCCGCCGCTCCGGGGGAGCACGGCCAAGGTTGAACTCTTTCGTTGGTGGTCGGCCCTTACCAGAGAGTCGGCGTATAAGTCTGCTTTGGGGTCTCTCTCCGCGAGTCAATGACAGCGTCCGTTGGAGCATATTCGGACGTGGCTCATCGGGGGTGTCTGGAGACTCAGATTCCGGGGTTGCGGGTGGTGTAGTGCCTGGTTTCGGTTAGTTAATTCATGCACCTTTATGATTGCCTGGGATGTACACGTACCAGGCTCGTACAAGCGAATGGAGCACCAGTTGCGTCGCGGTAACAAGCGCTTATTCTTTCGCACTTTGTTATTGACATCATGTGTGAAAATTGGGATCATTTCCTCGTCAGTATTACTGTCCATGTGGTGGACCTGGTTTCGGCGGTTGAGTGTGTCCGATATCATTTCGGTGGTGGGAATGTCAGCAATGGCGGATGATATTATGTTGGGCATATATCGGTAATCCTTGTCCTTGGTTATATTAAGATTAGGGTTCGAGTAGAATTGCCCGACGGCAGCAAGATGGACGTCGCCGCTGCAACATTGTTAGTATTCATCAAGCACAGGAGCCATGTGCTCTTAATAATCATACCTAAGAATGGTCACACGAATGGACTTTTCTGCTGCCAGATCTTGGAGATCTTCTATCAGATACCTCCGCTCCGATTTGTGGTGCTTTGCTGTCCAGTGGTCATCAAAGATTTCAACTTTCGCGCTATTTCTGTTCACCAGACCACCGAGAAGGCCAGCTTTTCCAAGCGACTGTCGGCTGTTCAGGATATTTTTCACCATGGCCTGTATATTTGTTAGTTAAAAATTACAACATATTTAAATTGTGAACTTACGACTCGAGGATAAGCAATAGGTATGCTCGATAGCACAATCAAATGCTTTGTTTCGCCCCGAATAATCTCACGGTGGCATCTGTCCCAAATAAGATCAGATGTACGCTCACTGAGGATTTCATCACACTGCAAATATTGTTAGCCATCCTATCTGAAAAAGACCGGCTTGTAACCTACCATTCTCTCAGTTCTGCAGTCAAGTCCCAGGAAAGACATCCCATTGCCAAGGGACATGAACAAATGGCGACTGCGTTGGTTGATATAAGGCCCAGCTTCCGCTCCCAAAATCCAACTAGGCTCATCCGCCTCTGTCTCTTCTGGCACACTATGGTGTTGGAATAACAAATAGTACTTGTATGCGAGATTGCCGAGGCCTGAAATCACAGCCGAGCTCATGAACTCGTCGGGGTACGATCCAAAGCCCTCGAGGATCTCATGGTCATTCCAAATGTTTACCATGGGTATCTGAGAATTGGCAAGAGAGAAGAGCCCTTGGGAGAACCAGCTTGAGTAGTTTTCAAGGTACGACCTCTCCAGTTCGTCCTTGAATTCAGGATTGAGTGGGGTTTCGTACTTTTCGCTGGCATCCTTAATCTTGAGCCATTCCTGAAAGTGTACCGAGTCGGCGGTGACCTTGTCGTTGAATATTTGATCACCACCACCGATCATGACGTGAAATGGGCGAGTTTGGTGCTCGTTGAGGACGTCTCGCCACAGAGGGTCCGGACCGCAGAACTTGTTGGAATCCACCCCGGGCGTAAATCCATTGCAAGAATGGTACATTATGTTCATCGATTGGCCCTTGGCTGGCACCCAGAACCCTATAGCAGGGCCTTGGTTCAGACGGTATGCGATTCGCTGTTGCTTCTCACCCAGCTCAACCTCTATGTTAAACCTCCAGAACGTGACGTCTCTACCCGCATCGGCGTAGAGGCGGAATGCTGGAATCTCCTTATAAATTCCAACTGTTTCTCCGTCCGTTGAATGAATCCTATTCGCGGGTATCGGTTGTTTGAATCCATAGTCAATAGCACTCGGAGACATCTCATAGATACCATCGTCATTCTCGACAGATGAAAGATCGAGCTGCTCTTCAGTGTGGTCAACGGGTTTGACATAGAGAGGACGTCCGTCTCGACCGAGTTTCGTTAGTCCAGCCGTCGGATCGATGTACTCGGGTGCTAACTGGACTCCTTCACTATTGATCTGCGCAGGCGGAGGAGGAAGGATATTCATTGGTTGAGAAAACAGTCGTATCGTAGGCGCCGGTTCATATGAAGAGATTGAGTCTTTCGTCACGATCAAAATGGTGCCTCTCCAAGTCTCTTTGTCGACTGGCCCATCCGGGCCGTCTGTTCTCTCGCGTTTCAAGCCTGCATAGCGGAGCAGAGGCCCGCTTTTTAAAAATATCAAGGGTTGAAAGCGCTTGTAGGCTGTGCATATAGTTAATCGTCAGATATCAGGATTTCAAGAATAAATTTTAGGTTCAACTTACACGTCGGCTTTGGAGCAGGGGCCTTCTGGTAATTTTTCGGCAGTGCCCTGCTTTGCCGTCGATCTCGGGTTCCGGCTTCCCACCATGCCTTGCTTCTATCCACATCCAAGGACTGCTGTAAATTGAAGTCGGACGCCCCAAGTTTCACGGTGGGTGCTGTCTTCCATTCTGATAGTGGAGGAGGTGTCGGTGGTGGCACATTGAACGAAACAGTATGGCGCTTTGACTTCGTTTGTGATGGCTGCATGTTTTCGTCACTTCCAGGTATTATAGACTCTCCGCTATCTTGTATCTCGTGAGGGGCAGGCAATTTATCACCTACGGCCGCAACAGCTGGTGGGTCGACGGGATGACCATTCTGTTGAGGATTGGTACGAGACACGGGAGCTCTCGTCCTAGTATCAGGGTATGGTTGTCCTGAGTTGGGGGCACCCGTTTGGGCTGGTTTGGCTGGTTTCGGAATCTGATGCGTCGGCGGCAGCTGGGAAGATAAAGCGCGGCTGTGGCGAGGGTTGGCCTGCTTTGGTTCATGCGGCAACATGCGAGGCTCTTCCAGGGGTTGATTAATCGAAACCGAACGTCGAGCGTTACCTCCTTTTACAACCCCCACATCCGGGGTACGATTGCTGGCATCCTGTGACTCTAGAAGTGGGCGCGCCGGATGTCCATGCATTGACGGCGGAATACCACGTGAAGTTGTAGGTCGCGGAGGCTCTGGCTCCCGCTGAATATTGATTTTTCCTTGACTCTCGAAGTTCGGTCTCTCGTAGTCTCCATTCTCCTGCAGCCTCGGGTCTTTCCGAGGGGGCCGTCGATCTGGGACGTTGTTATCATGTGTAGGCCGAGAGCTTGGCTTCACGTCCCTTTCTTGCGATTCTGGAGGAGGGCCAGCCGCAGACTTCCTAGCCATTCGCTCTTTCAACTTTCTTTCAGCTTCCAAGGCACGGGCTCTTTTCTCTTCTTTACTGATTCCACCCAAGGCCACCTCAAGCTTTTGGAGCGGAGATCGGTTATACGCCCAATCGTGTTGCTCAGCCGAGGATTTCACTGTGTCTGATCGACTCAAGTGTGCCGACTGGTTCTGTGAATGCAATGTGTCATGGCCTTCGGATAACACAGGACCTGATTAAACAAACTGTCAACGGAGTTCAAGATTTCCCTGCCCACTATCCAATCGCGCAGTAAACGAGTATTTAGGAGAGACTCGGGCATACCTGACATTCCTGGATGGACAGCCAGGGTGCTATTTTCAAAAGCTCCAGATGTTGCCGTTGACATATTGATCATCAAATATGTCGTCTGCGAATGTAAATTTTGGTAAGATAGGTAATTAGATTATGTCCAATTTGCAGCCCGTCGCCCGGCGCCACAAATGAAGTACAGCGCCGTGCGCGCAATCTTATTCTGGTGCTGTCAGGAATTCAATGGATGCGATCACTTAGATCGCCATTTCATCAGCGAAGCTGCTCAAAACTTGCCGTAGTCGCTGAGTGAGGAGTCGAGGACAATGAGATAGTCGTACAAACGAGGCTGCCTGTGGAGAGTATGCGAGTAGCGTTCGATCGGCCGTATGTATGCGAAACCAGCGATGGTAGACAGCCAAAAAAGAACAACAGCCCAACACAGCAGTGAATTGAGTCCGAAGCAAAGAAGAAGAGGATGGAAAGTTTGTTGTCAACGGTGTGCCAAACTGGGTGGGATTTTATCTGGGATGACGCTACTCATGCATTGTAAGAGTGGCTGGGCCCAGCCTCCTCATCTTCATGCAGCTTGCGGGGCTGCACGACGAGAGACCAGCCAGGCACAATCGATCTCTTCTGCTTCTGTCCTGATCTGCTCTCAATTTTACTCAAATTTTCAGGAGCAAAAAGCAAAACCAAGAGTGCCCATTTTGCAGAGCACAGTGTTAGATATTTGCTGATTACTCCATCCTATCAGTGTGTTTCTGTGAGTACGGGATAGATTCACGACGAGAGTGCAATTAGAGGGCTCAGATTCCACTGATATCAAAGTCTCAAAAGACAAGTCACAACATGCATTATCATGAGAATTCACTTTTGGTGCTGTTGGCCATGAATCTGTAGTATGAAGGGCCTTTGCAGCCTTGTACCGTGGGTCGCCGGGGATGGCGCGATCACTCCGCCCGGTGGGCAAATCACTTCACTTTGCTGTTTCTGCCTGATAACTAAGGAATAAGCCCCTTCAGGAGGCGATCCTGCCTGAGGATCCAGGCCCCACATGTCCTTCTGTCTCACGGTCTCCAAGAGAACACCTCTGCCGCGTAGGCACCGCTGATTCTGACACTTTTCTTTTCTCAGCTTCTCCAAATTCGGGAAATTTCTCTTTTTTCCCTGTTCGTTCTTGCTATCATTCTTAACTGCTACTGAGTAGCCTGTTGTCTCCTTTCAGCAAACTTCGTGATTCCATCGCTTTGTTGTCAAGTTTCTTTGCACCGGCTACTTTCGATGTCAACCTGACTCCTATTTGTCCTCGTTTCGTCCATCTGAGGAGTTCTGCCGCCCTCCTTCCACCTCCTCGACCTTCACCATGCGTCTTTGCAGTGCGGCGACAGCCTTAGGGCTGTTCTGTGCTGCCACCGCTTCCCTCCACCCTCGCCGCTCTTATGAGACTCGTGACTACTTTGCGATTCACCTCGACTCCACAGCATCGCCGTCGAATATCGCTCAGCAGCTAGGCGCCCGCCATGAAGGCCAGGTAGGCGAGCTCGACGATCATCATACGTTTTCCTTGCCTCGAGAGGATGGTGCCAATCTCGATACGCTTCTACGAGACCTACAGGTGAAGAGGAAATTGCGACGACGCGGGGTCGACACTGGTCCCCTCGACAAGCGAGATGAAGACCTCGCCGGTATTCTCTGGTCCCAGAAACTAGAACCGAAACAACGGCTAGTGAAGCGATCGCCGCCGCCTGAGAAGTTCACCAGAGGCTCCACTATCTCCTCCTCTGAGGATGTGGAAGCCATGGAAGCCCGGACTAAGCTTGCTTCCACACTTGGAATAGTGGACCCTATATTCGAGTCGCAATGGCACTTGTTCAACACCAAGCAAGTCGGTCATGACCTCAACGTTTCGGGAATCTGGTTAGAAGGCATCACCGGGAAAGGCGTGATCTCTGCAGTCGTGGACGATGGCTTGGACATGTACAGCAACGATCTCAGCCCAAACTACTTCCCTGAGGGCTCATACGACTTTAACGAACACACTGCAGAGCCTAGACCACGTCTGCCCGATGATAAACACGGCACCAGGTGCGCAGGAGAAATTGCTGCCGCCAGAAACGATGTCTGTGGTGTAGGTGTCGCGTACGAGAGTAAAGTCGCTGGAATTCGAATCTTATCTGGGGCTATTGATGACAACGACGAGGCTAGCGCGATTAATTATGCATACCAGAGGAATGATATCTACTCGTGTTCTTGGGGCCCGCCTGATGATGGTGCCACAATGGAACAACCAGGGGTACTCATCAAAAAAGCAATGGTCCACGGCGTTCAAAAAGGCCGAAATGGTAAAGGATCGATCTTTGTGTTCGCGGCCGGGAATGGCGCAGCCTCGGGGGACAACTGCAACTTCGACGGCTACACCAACAGCATTTACAGTATAACCGTTGGCGCTATTGATCGAGAAGGAAACCATGCAACTTACTCCGAATCCTGCTCCGCGCAGCTGGTGGTTGCGTACAGCAGTAAAAGTGGTTCTGACTCTATACACACGACCGACGTTGGAACGGACAACTGCTACTCATATCACGGTGGAACATCTGCTGCTGGCCCCTTGGTGGTAGGTGCCATGGCGCTTGCTCTGAGCGCCCGTCCAGAACTCACATGGCGTGATGCCCAATATCTCATGGTTGAGACATCGCTTCCAGTCCACGAAGATGATGGCAGTTGGCAGGAAACTAAGAGTGGGAGGAAATTCAGCCACGACTGGGGATTCGGAAAGCTCGACACATACAGTCTCGTGCAGAGGGCGAAGACCTGGGAACTGGTGAAGCCACAAGCGTGGTATCACTCGCCTTGGCTGAGAGTGCAACATGAGGTCCCTCAGGGCGACAAGGGCCTTGCCGCGTTTTGGGAAGTCAGCGAGAAGATGATGAAGGACGCAAATATTGAAAGACTGGAGCATGTCACTGTGACCATGAACGTGAACCACACACGCCGTGGTGACCTGAGCGTGGAGTTGCGGAGCCCCGAGGGCATAACCAGTCACCTCAGTGTCGCAAGACCAAATGACAATGCCGAGGTTGGATACGTTGACTGGACTTTTATGACTGTCGCTCATTGGTAAGGATTTTTATTGAAGCAATAGCTAAACAATGCTAACGTCCTAACTAGGGGTGAGTCGGGCATCGGCACATGGACCGTTATCGTAAAGGACACCAATGTCGATGATAACAAGGGACAGTTTATCGACTGGCGGCTCAACATCTGGGGCGAGGCTATTGACGCATCCAAGCAAAAGCCTCACCCTCCTCCTAGCGAGCACGATGATGATCACAGTATTGAAGATTCAATCGTTGTTACAACCAGTGTTGAGCCAGCGCCTACCTCCACTCAACTTCCTGACCCCTCAAATACCCTTGACCGCCCTGTAAACGTCAAACCGACCCCAACGGAGACCGAATCTGAAGCTGAATCCGAGACTCCCACACCTACTCCAACACCTGCCTCGGACAGCTTCCTTCCATCCTTCTTCCCAACATTTGGTGCTTCCAAGCATACACAAGTCTGGATATACGCAGCGATCAGTTCAATCATTGTCTTCTGTATCGGACTTGGAGTGTACTTCCAAATCCAGCGCCGCAGGCGTCTTCGCAATGATCGTGACGATTATGACTTCGAAATGATCGAGGATGAGGATGAGTCAAAGGGTTTGAATGGATCGTCAAGTCGTCGCCGTGGAGGTGAACTTTACAACGCTTTTGCGGGTGAAAGCGAAGAAGAGCCTCTCTTCAGTGATGACGATGATGACGATGAGCCCTACCGGGACCAAGAAGCAGCCGAGAGGAGAAGCGCCAGCGCAGATGATACCCGAAGAAACCACGATTAGATCTTTCAAACATGTATTCTTACTTGTTTTATCCCTATTTCCTGTTCCTTTGCATCACCCTCGTCGTTCTTGTTCCTTATTGCTATTCTTGGATTGTTGCATCTCAAAGACCCCAACCCTACAGTTTGAAGTGCATCGAATAAAGTGTATATATGGCGTACAAAACAATCACTTGAGCCTAATCAGCATCAGCGACAGCTTTGTATGAGCTTTGATATCTGACATAAATACCTCTCTATAATTAATTTATAGTAGGCTCTCACATGAAAGTGAATAATGGCATAGTTGATGGCTGACTGTTGATGGTGGGTCTTGGCGATGACGCTGGGCCCAGTCCAGTTCCCCAACTGATCAACTTGGTTCACCTCCGCAACTCCCCACGACCTTGCCCATTCTGACCGGTCAGCCTCCTCCTCAGCACTAATCATAAAACATCAGCAAAACAATATCACTATCGCGTCTACTCTCTCTTTTTGTTCGTTGTTACTGGGTAACGATTTCATCCGCGCCATCCCCCAGCAGTCCCCTGCGCCGCCCCCCTCTTTATGGATCACGACGACTTTGACAGCGTCTCGTGGCGCCACGGGCCGGACAGCGATACTTCCCGGCCTACAACCTCCGGAACAGATGCAGAGGAATCTCATAAATCTCATTTCGACCCCAATGGCAAGCGGCGGATGAGCTCAGCAAGTGAGGCACCCCAGGCGGGGCCACACGCTGACGCCTTGGACCTCGCAGGTATCGGAGACGGAGTGTTGGAATGTCGGGTAGACACGCCTATGAAGGAAAACGAAGGCACCAAAGATGTATACATATCGTATCTGGTATCCACGCATGTAAGTGTTCGCGGAGTATCCTGAATAAGCTATATTCAGCTGCCTAGTGGGGAGGCTCAAACAAGTTCAATTGTTAACAGGATAACCACTAGACCGACTTCAAGTCTTTCCAAAAACCCGATTTTACTGTGCGCAGACGATTTACGGACTTCTTTTTCCTCTATAACACGCTCTACCGAGATTACCCTGCCTGTGCGGTACCGCCGCTGCCAGATAAGCACAAGATGGAATACGTTCGGGGGGACCGGTTCGGGCCAGAGTTCACCACCCGAAGGGCTTGGTCTCTACATCGCTTTCTAAAACGCTTAACTCTGCATCCAGTCCTGCGCAGAGCTCCTTTGCTAGCTATCTTCCTGGAGTCGGGTGATTGGAATGCACATATGCGAATGCGATCATCCCGAACCTCAACTAGTGGATCTGATGCCGGCGGAGCGGGAATATTCGATAATTTTACCGACTCTTTCGTTAATGCGTTTACCAAGGTTCATAAGCCAGATCGCCGATTTATCGAGGTGAAGGAAAAGGCCGACAAGCTGGACGAGGATCTCAACCATGTCGAGAAGATTGTGGCACGGGTTGCCCGTCGGGAGTCAGACTTAGAGACCGATTACAACGAACTGGCCACGCAGTTCCGCAAGCTTGTCCCGCTGGAGCCGGACGTCGAAGTACCGCTGCAAGTGTTTGCTGCTTCTGTTGAAGAAACGGCACGAGGAATCAAGAATCTGAAAGACCACACCGACCAAAATTACTTGGGTTCGCTTCGCGATATGGAAGCATACATCTTATCAGTAAAAGCACTCCTAAAGAGCCGCGAACAAAAGCAGCTCGATTTTGAAGCCCTGGTCGATTACCGGAACAAGGCGACGGCGGAGCGAGAATCCCTCGAGTCGAACCCCTCTTCATATTATGCCTCAAACCCTCTCACCTCATCCCCGGCCTCTTTTATTCGGTCGAAGATGGAAGACATGCGCGGGGTGGACCACGAACAGTCACGCCGTGAGCGAATGCGCAAACTCGATATAAAGATCGAGGAGCTCACCCGCGAAGTGGAAACCGCTAAAACCACCTCGGAGATGTTTGATGAAGAGGTTGTGCGCGAGGTTGCAGACTTTGAGAGGATCAAATCAGTTGAGTTTCGGGATTCTATGGGCGCCCTTGCGGAGCAGCACATCGAGTTTTACCAAGGTGTACTTAACACCTGGGAACGATTCGTTGCCGAGATGGAGGGTGATTTAGAAGAGAACGTTGACAACCCCCATCACGCACAAGGGTGAGGCTGGAGGCCGGTAGAGAGAACTCGAAACTAAAAAAGAAACCCCGTTGTTGGGCTTATAAAACGACCGCTTCATGTCAACAATCGGTAATTATCAATATCAGTATCTATCCACTCTACAATTGATGGCCCGTTTACTGTCCTTGGAGAGCGCAATGCCGATTCTGTTACGATGCTTTACGGCGTATATAGGTAGCACTTATTTAGGTAGTAGGTAGCTTCATTCCAATATGGATCGTTTCATTACAGCCATTACTTCATCTCAACCGGTGATAATCTGATCTGATCCATTCCTCGACCCACGTGGGCACCAGCCGGCTTATCAAACAACCTTGGTTGCAAAATGGCACCTCGTCAGTTCAGAATCTATCCTTTGCCTTCTGTGTCTCCGCACACTCAAAATCAATCGAGCTTGGTTCGCCCCTCGGATCAGAAATCGCTGGGTTCAAGGCGCGCCGGACCCATTTCTTTCATGTTAGGTATATGGTAAGCTTCAAGTCACAGGCACCAAACATACCAAAGCAACCAACCACCTAAAAGTAGAACAAAGACAAAGGGGTGTGCGAGCACTCAGGTCTGTAACTAGGAGATAACGAAAATAGGACATACCTCACGGTATATCTGAGTCGGCGTTTTCAAGGTATTCTTCTTTGTCCCGGCGGTTCCGTTTCCGCCAGGTCCCGTTCCTGTTCCTGTGCCTGATCCTGATGGTCCCGGGACCACACCAGTTTGCACTGCATCCTCTTCGCCGGCCATCAGCTGGAGATAGACATCTTGGTCGTAGCTCACGGTGAAGGGAGCCTTTGGGTCATGGGCGAAATTGGGGCCGAGGCCTGGGTATGCTGGCTGCGGGCTGGAGTGTGGTTGTGTGGTGGTGGATGGCGGGGATGAGGATTGTCCTGTGTTTGTTGCGGGCTGACGGGAGAGTGAGACTGAATCAGGTCCCCCGGTGGCAGCAGCAGCAGCCCGGGGCGATGTACCTGAAGTCATAGTGGTTGCCTGCTTGAGTGACTACTTCACTGAAGGTCGAGGAAGAGGATCGCCGCCACAGGATTGAGGTGGGATATCGTGAAGTATATCAGATGGGGATAATAAAGTAGTAGTAGGTAGGCAGTGTAAGTAGCTGCATGATAGCTAGCGCCCTCGCCCGACGATATCATTACCATAATGGAGCATCCAGCCCAGGCACCTATGGACGGATTGAGTTTAGGCAGGGAGCTTCATTATCCGAACTTGGGCGAGAGGCAGTACGAACTCCTTGCAAATTGCCACTTAGAGCTCAGCTGAGTGGACACAGTATTGCTTATTTCGCCTGAGCTTGGAGATCACTACGCAGCGGCCATGGAAGATGGGAATTTGTTGTCAGAACAGAGCGAATGATGGGGTGACACTGGTGTGGCGCAGCCAGAACAGCGTCATGCCGGCGGTGGCAGTGAGACAAGAATGTCGGCTGCTAGCTCTATGGGAAGCAAAGGTATGCAGGATGAGCTATAATTAGGGTGGGCTTTATTTTCACTTGTTTCTGGTGTGGTTACTAGCAATTAATGGCGACTGTGCATGCGTGGGCGAAGTAAGGTTGTGTTACGGTATCAGAAAGAGATATCGGGCAGTTGGCTCCGAGTTGATTGCGTGGGCCTTCAGGAATCACTGCCTTGGTGGAGCTGCAGAATGAGGCTGGCTCGAGCCTGGTAAGCAGAGAGTGTAGTACGAGGCTGACTGAGTGTATCGTCTGTGCCATGGGCAGGCTCTTCGAATAAGCCGTGCCTCTGGATTCCGACTGAATGTCAGAATCCAATAGCGTCCACTTGCAGTTGCTACGAGCCAGTCAGATAAGATACGGCGGCGATGAGCCTCAGCCCCTTGAGGTCATGATCCAGCGGCAATTTCCAGGGATTAGGTCGCGGCGGAACTCTGGGATAGTAAGAACATGGCCATCTTAAAAACTAGAGCCGGATGACATGCAAGTTGTTAGGAGAATAATACCAGATCTTCAACGTTCCTCCAGATACAAATGACGTTTGTCTTGTTTGCACTGATCTTATGATCGACCGGCAAGAAAGATTCCAGGAATCCCCTCTTGAACCTCAAACAACCACCTCACTATGCGGCCAATTCCTGCTTCGGCCCTCCGGCCGTACGTTTGCCCATCGTGCCGTTCATCGCGTGTCTTCAATAAGAGGAGATTTGGCACAAAACCAGCTCCGGTAACAGATGTCTACGATGTAGTCTGCGTTGGGGGCGGTCCTGCTGGTTTGGCGCTCCTGGCTGCTCTCCGTAAGTCACTGTCATCTGCCCCTTCTTACGAATGCTAGAATTGGCTCAATTGGTACTGATTTGGCGGAACAGGCGCATCGCCTGCGACATCAAAGTTGAAGGTCGCCCTCGTCGAATCGCAAGACCTAGACAAAGCCCGCTCTTGGAAGCTCGGCCCGCAGCAGTTTTCCAACCGAGTCAGCAGCCTTACACCCTCATCCGTGTCCTTTTTGCAGAAGACTGGGGCCTGGGATCACTTGGATACCGCGCGGACGCAGCCATACCAGGGCATGGAGGTTTGGGATGGAGAAACGGGGTCGAAGATCTCGTTCGACTGGTCCTCGGAAACCTCACCATTCGAAGACCTCCGCACCGTTGCAACAATGACGGAGAACGCCAATCTCGTACACGCCCTCCTTTCGCGGATAGCTGCTTCCGGTGACGAGAACCTTTCCATATTCTCCAAATCCACTGTATCCTCAATCGAGAATGGCACTGCGGACGGGCCGGATGGCGCCGACCTCTCGGCATGGCCCGTACTTTCTATTGCCCCAGCTGGAAACGCAACTGAGTCTACGGTATCGCCATCTCGAATTGCTGCAAGGCTCCTAGTCGGAGCGGATGGTATCAATAGCCCCGTCCGTCGGTACGCCGACATTGCTACGGACGGCTGGGATTATCAACGTCACGGAATCGTTGCAACTCTTTCTCTCGCCGATAAAGTTCCACCTCTGTTCCCTATCGGCACAAGGACAGCGTACCAACGGTTTCTACCTTCCCTCGGCGGTCCGATTGCCCTACTCCCACTGCCGAATAATAATGCCACGCTGGTTTGGTCCACTACGGTCGAGAATGCGGCCTACCTCAAGTCACTGTCCCCGGGGGCATTCATAGCCATGGTGAACGCAGCATTCCGTCTACCTATGGCTGATCTTCAGTACATGCTGCGCATGGAGCGCCCATCCACTCCCATCACCGACCTGGACGAAGACCCGCACGAGAGCGAGTTAACCTGGCGCCTCCAGCACACGCCCTCCGTCCCTCACCTCCCGCCTATGGTCACCGGCGTCCAGGAAGGCACAGTAGCTTCATTCCCCCTCCGCTTCCGGCACGCATCAACGTATATCTCCCCTCGCATCGCCCTAGTGGGCGATGCAGCGCACGTCATCCACCCGTTAGCCGGGCAGGGCCTCAACCTCGGTCTCGGTGATGTAGCATCGCTCTCCAACACGATCGAATACGCGGTCAACCACGGGATGGATGTCGGCGATGTCCTCACGCTCGAACAGTACACAGCCGACCGGTGGGCCACCAATGCTAAGATCGGCGGGACGTGCGATATGCTGCACAAACTATACAATGTTCCAGGCCAGGGGCCTGTCGCGTGGGGGCGGAGCGTTGGTTTCGAGATCATCGATCGATTGCCGTTCTTGAAGGGATTCTTGATGAGGAATGCGGACTCGTGATCCCAGCGAGACGGGCGATGATCTGTTAAGTTTTTCTTGTACAAGTAGATGTACGTACTTCTTGAGCTATTGTTGTATTAATGTTGTCTTCGTCGGTGTATTATACATGAACATCATGGGTATAGAACCCGTTGGACTTTATTTCCTCCATCTCACTTGGGTCAGAAACCTCAGCAAATCGCACAAGAGCCTATCCGTAGCCTGGTTCTTATTTCTTCAAGCAACTGAATTCAGGGAAAATCAATTCCTAAAATAGGTTGGCCTCTACCTCGTACGGGTTAGGAGAGGGCAAATCAGCGGAAGGAATTCGCTCTCCGCTGCGGGATTGGGGAAGTTATTTATGCAGGTATGCTTCCCCAGACTTCAAAAGCGAGAGAGCAGTGGCTGCTTTGGCATTTGATACACCTTTGGAGAACCCCAAATTATCAGTCAAAGTGGCGAGACCTGGGCTGGTCTAGATCAAAGAGACGGCACGGTAGATACGATTTAACCAGACACGGAACACTAATTGAGCCCCCGGCCCTCCCCCGGGTGTTTCATGGAGAGCCACAGATGGGTATGACGTCGAGTAACAATCAAGTATTGAAAGCGGTTGATGGTCTACGGTGAACGAACGAGGTCCCGGATATTCCCGTCTCCCCCAAGTCGAGGATGAGGTCTGCTGGTGGGCCGCCAAATTATTTTGCTGAGAGAAGAGAGGGGTTTTGTTGAGCATGTTCATCAATAATGTCTGCGGAGTCTATCAGTAGTATTGCGTGCATTTGTTCGTTGACCCCAGTGTGGCTTGGTAAGTTGGTACACTAGTGCCAGCTTCTCCAAGTTGTTTCAGTTTGTTTCGGTGACTGAATCCATGCTCATACTTATCTACAAGTGAAACGCGATACGTACCTACTTCCAAGTTCGCGTGGGTTGCGATTGCCAGTGACCTCATCGGCTCTGCTGTCCGGATCCGGTCTATATCGCTGCAGTGACCCTGGTCCTGGCAGCCTAGAGGAGTCGCGGTTTTGCTCGCCGAACTTGATCCGCAAGCAGGGGATCACAGGCAGGACGGTTGGTTGAGCGTAATTAGCGCAGTGGAGCGTACTGCCTTTCTCCATGCCTATGCATAAAGATGTCGAAACCCAAGGCCAGTCAGGAGTTGTGATTTAATTACCCCGTACTCAAGTCCTCGAACTGAGTTTGTTAGTGGCATAACTCTTGCCTCTTCAGTTTAAAACTCATTGTTAGCGAGGTGGCTCGTCGAGTCGTCTGTTACTGAGACCTGCTCGTCCACTCCGTACGGTGTTTATTCCGTGTCGGAGTCTGCCCTCTCGGACTGTCGGACTCTTTGTCCGGCAATGGCACAACCAAAGTTTCAACCTCCACTGGCCACTTTGCTTTATCGAGGTGAAGAATGGAGTACTGCGTGATAACTTCTATAAAGCAAGAGAACAAGCTCCAGAGTTGTTCTCAGGAACTGATCTGTGCACTAAAACCTAAAAAGCCAAATAGGCTTCTTCCACGATGCCTGCAAGATCGTGCGGAGAGATTACAGAACAGTGGAAAGCGCCGGAACAAGCGAAATGACGCTAACAACTCCAAAGTTGGGGTCAAGTGGTTATGGGGCGCATGGAATTATACGATTGGCCATGCGCATTTCTGTCATTTCTGGGATTCCACGTGGTTCGGTCGTCGGAACTGTTCTCATCCTAGTGCAATAATACGGAACCTGTCAAACAGGCAGTTCGATGACGCCTCTCAGTCAGAATGTCTGGGGGAGGTCGCGAGGACAACTTCCCCAATCCAGAGAGGGAGCTTATTGGCGATAAGATGAACAAGCGCCATTTCGTCTTTTACGTTGGTTATGGTCGAGTAGCAGCGGACGGTGGCTGTTCTGTGCTCCACACAAAGGCGCTGCCAAGAGCCGCGTCCAGTCGGAGGCCTTGTAAAATCACGCACTCGATCCATATCTCTCCTCTTTGCTGGACAAGCCGCTGTCATCGCTAATCGCGCCAGATACTTGCGAACCGGACGCCGGACGGCTTGCGATCTGCCGCCAGCAGTGGGAGGCTTGACACTGTGGTTCCCGCCCTCGAATACCTCGTACAGGTTCTTGTGAGTCGCACAGAATGCCTCGTGGCGCACAGAAAGACAAAGCCAATGCCAAAGGGCTGGCAACAAATAAAAGGCCCTGTGGGTGGTTTTGGATGTAACCCTGCCTGCCTGGGTTATAGTAAACGCTGTTATTTATCCGGAGGATGTTTCCCCTGCAGCGCCGCTTCGAAATTGGTGGGATTACATGGCCACAGTGGTGTGGTGTGCTTCTTGTTCAAATCCCAACCGGCTTCACTCCCCCAGCCACGAGGCCTTAGTTCTCTACTGAAGGCGGACACATGTGCAACCGCGCAACTCGACAATAGGGCCTTTTGAGCGATGTAAGCATCTCGTCTTACCGTGCGCAGCGATTTGCGACCTTCCACAGCGCATCTCGAAGTTTCTTAGCCGCCCGGGCGGAGCCCCCTAGAAATGCACGTTGCACAGGTTGCCGAGCAAGGCAAACTCTCGAAAAAGCCCGTCTGACACAGGGCAGAGGTGAGCTGAAGCAGCATATTATGGTCAGCTTAGCCCCAACCGATCCTGGGCCGCAAGGGATCGCCTCCCTCCACCCCTCCCGCAGAGATGTAGAAACCAGAAAAGATGAGCTGATACTGCTGCCGGATGTTGTCTCCGTTTGTTATTGATCAATGAACGCCCCCGGCCGAGATGAGTCCTCTTGTTGGCGATTGCAACGCGAGGGTCGAGGGTGGGATGGAGATGGGTTGGCCGTAATTACATTACCGATAAGAGCTCGTATCGCCGATAAATACGGGTACAAATGGCGGTCTCATTCTTCCCAAGGCCCCATGATATGGGGGATGGCATTCACGTAACTCAATAATAAAGAGTTAATAATCAAAGAGCGCTGTAGAAGCACCGTAGAAGTGAAGAGAGCCTTGGATAATTGGTTCCTTCCCCTCGTTTCAACGCTCTCGGACCCGTCAACCATCGTCATAGAATATTACACTCCCGTACAGAGTCCACCCGTCCTGGAGGCCCGGAGGTACAGCGGCCTCGCCCCATCGTTCTCCTCCTCTCCTCAAGTCTTCTTCTGGCTCACTTCTGCCTCTCCCTCTCAGTCTCAGCCTGCTTCTGCTCGGTTACGAATCTGTGTCCTCCCTCTCTTCCGCCTGGAGCCCCAGATCAGACCCAATCTCGCTCTCTCTTCGCATCCAGCGACCGATCGGCTTATCAACTCCGTCGTTCGATTCCGCCCTCACTTACTTTCCGCCCCATATTCTGCTGTTCACTCTCACCCACTTCCCCAACGTCTGGTCGCCACGCTCGTGAGATCCGTAACCTGTCCTGAACGTTCCTTTGTCATCCCCTATAGCGCGTCTCACTTTCCTTCGTCCAATTTCTTGCGCCATTTTCTCCATCCTTCCTCCACTTCGACCTCGAGGCTCCGACTGTCGCATACTCGAAACCGCCCGCGGGTTATCTAGGCAACACTGGTGCGGTTAGCGATCTGAGTAGCGGTTTCTTTCCCCGCTTCGTCGCCAGATGACGGCGGTCACTACAGATCAAGAGAACTGGTGACAATCATGGGGTCAATTCTAAGAAGTTTTCGAAAAGATGTGGTGAGTTTGTGCATGGACGTGGTCTATTTTCACCATATCCCGCTCTTGATTCGGACATTACTGCCAGGCCCGATATAGCGCTTCTTCATAACTCATGGAGCAGCCATGGACCACGCATAGTCTACTTCTGTCATCGCTGGCTGTCTTGCTTTAACATGCTAATTCTCCGTTAGGGATCTACCGCACCTCCAGTCGGGGTACCTCCTCCAAAGAAAGAGCCCCAGCCGCTCCCGATGACTCCGTTAGAGAAAATGCTCACTGAGCTGGGACCGATCCGAACAGATGGCAGTGATAAGTTTTTTGGAATGGAAAATGTAGGTGTTTATCTGAGTTCTTTTTCTTGAGCCTCTGCTGATCACCGCCCTATCAGTTCGGAAACACATGGTAAGTGGCTACTTAGCCAGACATTTCCCATCTACAAGCCACTAATGAACCGCCGCAGCTACTGTAACTCGATTTTACAATGTCTTTACTATTCAGTCCCTTTCCGAGATGCTGTTCTCAACTACCCCAAACGAACCCCGATCGAGAGCCTAGAAGCAGCGCTGGCAAAGGCCCTCCGATACCAAGATCCGAATGCGCGGCAGGAAGCTGAGGCGCTGGCAGAGAAGCAGAAAGCAGCCAATTCTCCGCGGCCTGGGCAGCCTCCGAACCCGCAACAGAAGCCCGAAGACAAAGATTCGCCAGAGTATAAAAAGAAGATTGCTTTGCAGACGCTTCCTCTCCTAGAGACGGCTAATAATGCCCCCAGCTACGGCATAACGGAATCACTATTCAGTTCGTTGAAAGACATTTTTGAATCTGTCGTTGGGAGTCAATCTCGAATAGGGATTATCCGGCCGCAACATTTCTTGGAAGTACTCCGCCGCGAGAATGAGATGTTTCGGACAGCCATGCACCAAGACGCACATGAATTCCTTAATCTTCTGCTTAATGAGGTTGTTTCAAATGTGGAAGATGCAGCCAGTCGTCTTCCATTAGAGAAGCCTACTCCTGCGATCGAGAGCTCGGAATCCCTCCAACCATCGTCGAGTTCAGGCTCCAAAACACCCAACACTACTCGTTGGGTTCACGAATTGTTTGAGGGTCTTTTGACTTCCGAGACACAGTGTCTCACATGTGAAAAGGCGTCTCAACGTGACGAAGTATTTCTGGATTTATCTGTGGATTTGGAGCAACATTCCTCGGTTACTTCATGTTTAAGGAAATTTTCGGCGGAGGAAATGTTATGTGAAAGAAACAAGTTTCACTGTGACAATTGCGGGGGTCTGCAAGAAGCAGAGAAGAGGATGAAGATCAAACGGCTTCCCCGGATATTGGCTTTGCACCTCAAACGTTTCAAATACACTGAAGATCTGCAACGCCTCCAAAAGCTTTTCCATCGAGTTGTTTACCCCTATCATCTTCGCCTTTTTAACACAACCGATGACGCCGAAGATCCCGATCGTCTTTACGAACTATACGCGGTGGTTGTCCACATTGGTGGTGGTCCTTATCATGGTCACTATGTTTCTATCATCAAGACTCAGGATAGAGGGTGGCTGCTATTTGACGATGAAATGGTAGAACCTGTGGATAAGAACTATGTTCGCAACTTCTTCGGTGACAAGCCCGGTTTAGCCTGCGCGTACGTGCTTTTCTACCAAGAGACAACCATGGAGGCCGTGATGAAGGAGCAGGAGCAGGAAAACATGGAGCCTCCCGTCGATTTAAATGCTGCCCACATGAAGCAAAATGGCTTCGCCAATTCTCCCGCTCTCGCTCACGTTCATAGCGCCTCCCAGATTCCAACATACGAGGACCATGACCGCTTCACGGGTCTGAAGCGAGCGCCAACTGCACCTCAGCTGTCTACACACTCTGAACATACCGACGCAGAAAATGTGCCTTCTGCTACTCCTTCTCAGCCCCCCATTTCTTCGCTACCTCCCGTTCCGCCAATTCCTGAAACACCCTCAAGTCCACTAGCATCCCGAAAAAGTGACGCACAGTTAAAGAAACAACACGCCAAAGAAGAGAAGGAGCGAGAGAAAGAGCGCAAAGCGGCTGAGAAGGAGAAAGAAAAGCAACGGCGGAAAGAAATTGAGACGAAATATAAGGATAGACAACGGCGCGAAGACGACGAACTGAAGGCTGCTCTCGAGGCGAGCAAAGCTACGAAGGACGACGAGGATCGGCGCAATCAGACTGAGAATGGGTCATCTAGGAAAAATTCCGGGGGCCTTGGTCGATTCAGGAGCTTCAGCCACCGCTTAGGCAAAGACAAAGACCATCGGTCTTCTTTACCGCCTATTCCACCGTTGCCGAATGGGGATCATTCCTCCAGCAAAGTCTCGAGCGAGCAAGGGCATCCAGAACCCCTGGCCCAACCATCACCACGGCCAGAGTCACAACCAATGAATGACCTTCTACACTCACCCCGGCCTGGGGCCACTCCGAGTTCGCCGCCTAAAGAGCAAGAACCTATCAAAAATCCGAAGCACGAACGCTCGGGCCACGGCAAATGGCGAAGTTTCAGCCTTAGGAAGAAATCGTTCATTTCGTGAGTCTCTGACTGGAAATCCCAACCTAGACAACATCCTTTTGTGCACATACATTATGCCGCCGTACATATATTTTTCGATGTATCATCAGATTCCCTTCACAGCTGGACCCAGCTATCCATGTCAAATATGGCTATGATAGCTGCATCCAGTTCATGTGTTACTTGCGCACGCTTTTCGCTTTGGACGTGGGTTGCATCTTGCTTGCATTTTATCGCATATTCTATCTAGCAGATGTTTGAGTATCTATGTTTTCTTCACTTCAGCTTCTTTCTTTCCCTCTTTTGATCCATCTATTTGTGATATCCGTGTCTGGGTCCCACAGCTTGGCGAATATGGCGTTTTGGATCTCAGATCTCTTTGATCTGTTTTCTCTCTTTATGTCTGAATACATGGCCCAAGGGCCTGATTCATTACTGTTCGGGAGGTACTCCTCATTACTTGCCTAGCTTGTTCGGTTTTGAAGACAAAGTGCACCCTTACCTTGAGATTAAAAAACAAAAAAGGGTGCATATTCACTGTACAATCCTAAGACTCTTGCCGAGTACCTACTATCTAACGTTTATTGTCTTCGATGACCCTTCTTCCGGGGTATGGTAACTGCTAGTAAGCCCATATGAGGGATGTATACATGGTCTGTTCTAGATGCAGAACAATAAGCTCCTCAGTCCTGAATCAGGATCGGTTAGGTACGGGCTCCTTCATCTTGGGATCCAAACCATCGTTTGGTCTACATTATGTAGCGCCTGGCCAGTAAACGGGTATGAGAACAGAATCAAATATTTCTATACAAAAATAGAATAGTGCACTTTCGTAAATATATCATAATACATCCAAATAATGCGCTTAAGCACAGATAAAAATCAACGCGACTCCATACAACAAGTAGACCACAAGCTGTATATCAGCTGCTAGCTCCCTTTCCAGCTTTCGCTGTCCCCCGGCCGCAAGGCCCAGGTTGCCGCGTCAGTAGAGCCCGCTAGGTACGCATCTGAAATCGCCCGCCTCTTTGTTTCTAGTTATATCCCCGCATATCATAGACGGACAACGATTGCACTTCAAATTCCGACGAATGTGATTGGTGGTAGATGGATAAAAGGATATATGGTGTGAAATAATACGGGTATGGTAATGCGCGGGGTTTATTTTTGCGTCTATTTTTCGACCGACACCGAAACGAGCAGAAAATGAACCGAAGAACTTTGAATTGATGGTACGGTCATCCTAGGATGAGTTCGTAGACAATTATTATGGTATTAATCACGATTAGGGGTACTGTTTTGCAGAAAATAGAGCTGTTAGCAATGCGCGCGTGATTTGGAAGGATCGAGTTGATCCGGCGCGACCCCCATTTGTGATTTCGGAATAGGGGAGGGAAGCTGAAGCTGGTACAGGTAGGAGAAGAAGAGCTTAAAGGGAGAGTACGTACTCCGCATCACTGTCCTCACACTAGCAATCAGGTTTATGGTCTTTGCTTTCACGCTTGTGCTGTCGTATGCGGCGCCGAAGGCAGCGTCGGCTTGCGGGCGCCCCCATCCAACTGTGGGGAGCATTTATTAGTTTCCTGAAGTTGAAATAAAAATGGCTTAGGGGCGGAGGAGACGTACTTCGTGCGAGAAAGCGGTCTTCGGAGAGGATAGCGATGGAGTTGGTTATGAGGATTATCACTGCGGAGAGCGCGTGTCAGTCAGATGGTGGGAAGGGCGAGAAGGGGGAAGGGTTTGCGCACCGTAGACAAGTCTTCCGAGACCGAAGAAGGACATTGTAGAGGTGGTAGTTGGTGCTTGGGTTGGATGTTGGTGTTGTGGAGGGGAGAGAAGTGGTGAGAGTGGAGGGAAGGTGAAGCTGCCAGATCGACGTGAGATGACCGTACAATCACATCCGAGCTGTGCTCCGCTCCGACTTCCCTACAACCATCGACAACCAGGTTGTCTTTGCGCACAATGTTAAGAGATGTTGGTAAGGCCGTTGTCTAGCTTTAAAATACTTATTGTGGACTAATTAATGACCAGGCTATCTGCTGTTGCTCGTTTCTCTACCGGCGCTGGTCGTCCTGCATTTGTGGATTGCTCCATACACCAAGGTAGAGGAGTCGTTTCATATCCAAGCCATACATGACATTGAGACATATGGGATTCCCACTGTCAATGTCAAGGATACGCTTCAGGCAGAGTATGACCATTTTGAATTCCCAGGGGCTGTTCCCAGGACATTTGCTGGGGCTATCGCACTCTCTGGGCTTTCGACTCCGGTTATCTGGTTGAAGCCTGATATCGACCGGCAGTTTGTAGGTGGGTATTTCCTGCGAGGCTATTACTTGTATAATTTGCTAATGATTGCTATGTATTAGCCCGGGCCATCCTAGGCTTGTTCAATGCCCTCTCGCTCCTCTACTTTGCCAGTGGTTTACGCCGCGCGGCTGGGAGGACTGCTGCTGTCTGGTACCTCCTGTTCCAAGCAAGCCAGTTCCATGTCATTTACTATGCTTCGCGGACGCTGTCAAATATGTTTGCATTTGGCATGACTACATTTGCTTTGGCATCTCTCCTTCCTGAGCCGGTAAATTTGAGCACGTATCGCAAACGCAGCAGGATAGCTCTGTACCTGATCACAATCGCGGGTATCGTCTTCCGTGCGGAGCTGGCGCTCTTCCTGGCTACGCATACCGTTTTCCTCTTTGCCTTGGGGCGCATCAGCGTCCGGCATGAAATAATACCAGCAGGAATATTGGGCCTCTTACTCGGCTTGTCCATAACCCTACCCGGGGACTCATTCTTCTGGCAACAGTTTCCGCTTTGGCCAGAGCTTGCGGCATTCAAGTTCAACGTCCTCGCTGGTCAGGCTTCCGCCTGGGGTACTCATTCATGGCACTACTACCTAACCAATGCTCTCCCCCGCCTGTTCATGAACCCCCTAACCTACCTTGTCGGCATTCCTATATCCTTGCTCCAACCCGCAACACGCCGCATTACTATATCCATGCTCCTGCCATCAATCAGCTTCATCATCATTTACTCCGCCCAACCCCACAAAGAATGGCGCTTCATCGTCTACACAATCCCACCCTTAACCGCCGCCGCAGCCCTAGGCGCGTCCTACATCTGGACGCACAGAACGAAATCCATCCTCTACCGCTTCCTTTCCCTAGGAATGATCGTCTCAACATTCGCGTCATGCCTTCTTTCTGCCTTCGTCCTCCTCCCAGCCTCATCGGCAAATTACCCAGGCGCGCACGCCCTCAACTCACTTCACACTCATGTATACAACGCAGCCCCTAAGTCCGGCGACCAACCAATCCCCGTCTCCGTTCACCTAGGCAACCTTGCCTGTCAAACAGGCATCACCCGCTTCCTGCAACACCCTCGTCACAGCCAACAAGGTGTTCCTCATTCTTCAATCTCCTGGACCTACGACAAATCCGACCCCTTAACTTCGGGATCCAACCAGCAAACCTTCTGGTCCCGCTTCGACTACGTTCTCCTCGAACCCGCCGAAGCAGACGCCCTACTTTCACTATCTGGCACCGGAACTGAATACGCTTACGCAAGTACGTATGCATGGAAGACCGTAGACTCCGTAACCGGGTTTGCGGGGTTACGTGTTCTGAAACCGGGGGAGAGGGCAGCGGGCGTTGTTGAGGAGGGGGTTTTAAGAGCTATCCTGGGCCCGAAGGCGGATGAGCTGGGTGTCGTGGGTCTTTGGGAGAGGGTTAGGGATGATTTGAGGAGAGTTGTTACGAAGGGCTGGTGGGTTGAGGTTAAGATGGAGGAGAGAATTAGAATTTTGGCGAGAGTGCGGTGATGTTATAGGAACTGGTCGGCAACGGGTTGTTCTGTTTGTTTTTTTGGATCTTTTTAGCGCAGCTTGGAGTCGCTATAGCTATGTATAAATCATAATCATATATTCCCGATGTGAGAATACCCTAACTTTACGGTGTTTTTATGGCACCATGGTTTCGTGCATGGTATCTTATCCGTTTACATTTCGATTCAGTAGAGGTATGTACTCCGTCTGCAGTACTATATAAGCACGAGATGGCATGGATAGCCGTATGTCCTGCATTTCTTCCCCGGCCTCGTCTAAATCTATCAAGTTTGGGTATATCACGTTAATTTCCTGCTTCCAACCGCTCCATTCTCTTCTCCAGATCACGAACCCACGGCTCAACAAGCTCAATATTGCTCTTTAGCGCAGATTCGCCCTGGCTCATCTTTTCCTCAACAGCCTTCAGCCCTTCCTTCCACTGTTCGATCTCTCCCGCCATATCGGCTTGGCGTTTTTCTAGCCCGTCCAGTGATTCAGAGGCTTGTGCAGCCCCGGCGTGGATGGCACGGAGAGAGCGTAGACGTTCCAGGACACTGGGAAGGATTGGGTGAAGAGATTGGATGGTTGGGAGGGTAGCATAAAGAGCTTGGATCTTAGTGGCTTGCTCGTCGCGCTGAGCGGCGGTTTGCTCGGGCTCGATGGGGGAGCCAGAGATAGAGAGTTCGGAGGCCGTGCGTGCGATGCGGGAGTTCTGCGCTGCTTTCGCGGAGTCGAGAGCGCGTTTGCGCGCTGATGCTAGGGCCTCGGCGTCTGTTGTAAGTTTTCTGACCCGGGTGGAAAGTAGTTCGAGGTGGGGGGTTGTGACGGTGGCTGAGCTTGCGGGTACGGACGTTGTTGGGGCCGCGGGAACAGGGCTCGGGCCGACGAGTAGGGTCATGAGGGTTGAGAGGCGAGAGGTTAGGTGATCAAGGGCTGGAAGAACTGGCTGGAGCCGGGCGTCTGAGGTTCCCTCGGAGATGAAGGGGTTTGAGGAGGTGGAGATGCCCATTGCCGATTCAATAAGAGCAAGTCGAGCGTCAAAGGCTGCTGCATGGGAGAGGATGCCAGCAGCAGGACTGGTCTTTTCATAGTCGGTGCTGCTTGCTGCAGCCTTAATCTGGGAGCCGCTAACATCCGCTACCTGTGTCGAGGGGTTTGTGGCAAGTTTCTGGGATATCAAGGCGGCTGCCGAATTAGGTTGGGACGCACCCCGGGACGAGGCGTAGAGGTTGTCCAGTGCCTGACTGAGTTTCTCAACGCCATCATCTAGTGTTCCTCTAGCCTCGTCTGGGACGTTGCTGGTCTCCGCATCCGGTTGTTGAGAGGTAGCCAGCTCATCCTTCAATTCCTCCACTTCGCGCTGCAAGCGCGCCAGTCTCCGTTCTAAACTCTCATTCTCGCTCTCACTCTCCTCGCCCTCCGCAGTACTGTTCTTCCGCCTCTGTCGGCTCTTACTTTTGTAAGACTTTCGCTTAGTAGCAATGCTGTCTGAAAAGTTCACACGACGGGCGTCGACGGTGGCTCCGAGAAAGTGGGATCGCGCTTCGTCCGCGTTGACAGGGTCTCGGTCAATATCGGAATCGGAACCGACATCGTCTGCATTCGATGCTGTACGAATTGTTGCAGTCTGCAGCGCCGTTAGAAATGAGCTTGGTTAGAATCATAATGCGGAGGCTAATATACCGGGACCGTGGAGGCTTCGTCTGTCAGGTCGGGGGTTTCGTAGATATCGGGAGCAAGGTCCTGGACGAGTTAGCGAAGAGCGGAAAATGGAGGATAGAATAATTCAAGAGCTTACCAGGTCAGGAAGACCGGCATATTTCTTGTTGAACGCCATAGCTGGAGCAATGGGGGATGTTTTGGTCCGATTGTATTGGAGCTCAAGGTGTTTGGTCCAGACCACGTGAAAGGGGAAGTTCATGCCTTGCAGCCTGAGGTAAGAACCCCACTGCAGCCTTATTGCCTCAGTGCCTTAACAGCTCCGATGAGGGGTAGTTAGCAGCGCTCTCCAGGTATACAACGCGCGCTACCACTCGACACCCCTCGACGTTATGTGATAGTGACATCCTGTCCGACCGAAATTAACCTTATCATGTTACACTGCTTACACTTTTGAAAGAACAACTGTTATCACATGCCCGAAAGAAGAGTGGTCTGTCAATATAGACTATGGAGCGCAAAGCAAGAGTAGATGCGCCAGCAGCCTTAAACCCGTCAAGAGGCGCCTAAAACAAATCCCTGGCGCTACTTTAAAAGCCTCGATAGTCGTAAATTCAGGCGAACGCCTCCAGGAACGCTCTCCCCTGGGGAGGATAAGGCGCCCACATGCGTGAGCTAGCCAACAAGCCTCGGTCTTCCAGCGGGTCTTCCTCGCAAACTCCTCCCAGACCGGCGGAGCAATCAAGTCCAACTATTGCGGAGTCGCGAGCAATCACAGCACTCTAGACACATGAGCCGGTGCACAGGGTGAAACTGCAGGGACAATCTAAGCTCCAGCTCGTGGGTACATAAAGAGAGCTGTCCGTCAGCGACTCAGCATCTTACCTCCGCTTCCAAGTTCACCGGTCCCCACTTCCCCCCTTCTTCGAACTACACTCCCTTCCACAATATTTCGACTCTATTTCAACGCCGTCTCTTAATTTATTCTCTGGGTGCATATCCTACTCCCTACCTTCCAAGATGGCTACTCCTACGGATATCAATTTCACCAACTACAATGGCAGCTGGACTATGGTGCGTTCTATATCGTCTCCTTTTTCGGGTCCCCGCTGCATCTACCCTTTCCAAGTACATTTCGACAAGAACGAGACTGATAATACGAATAACAGGACCGGAACATCTCCGACCAAACGGACCCCATACTCGCCATGGTACACCGTCCCTACCCTTCCCAAGCTCCCTCCCGCAGAAACTAGCTAACACTCTGTGCCCCATAATAGCAAGGCCTCAGCTGGTTCATGCGCACAACCCTAGCCTGGGTCTCTGTAACCCTGACTACAAAACAATACCAATCCCCGGACGATCCCGACAAGGCAATCCAGCACATCGATGTCGACAACATCGTGACCGGTGGCGTGCAGGGAACCAGCGAGCTGCGCATCACGGACTGGAAGAAGCGCGAGCACAACGACACCATCTTCGGGCGTGTCGATGGGCAGTCGCGGCTCCTACGCGGCTCGAAAGACGCCAGTGGCAAGGTGAGGCCTAACGTGGAGATCTGCACGAACATCGACGATGAGAAGATCGGGAAGTTCCTCCGTGGCGAGATCAAGGCGGATGGAACTGAGGTTGAGGGGTTCCTTGTTGACCCTGTTGGTGAAGGGTTTGGCGAGGGTGAGGAGGGTCTTTGGTTGCAGAGTTATGTGGAAAGTTTGGATTCGAGTTGGACGGCTGAGCAGGTATGTCGAGCCCTTTTTCTTCTTGTTATGCTTGATGTGATATCCGATGCTAACGCCGTGTTTGTATAGGTCTGGGGCTTTGAGACGATCGATGGCGAGCGCTACCATACTCGCCGTGTTGTCTGTGCTAATAACGGCGAGTATGTGCTCGCCAGACTTATTTATACCTTTGTTCCTCCTCAGTCCGAGCAGAACGATGACGACGACATTGCTTACTAGATATTGGTCTATCAGGGATTCTATATGTGTGGAAATAATATACTCACAATAGAGTCGGTTGATTCTGCGACGGCGTTGTACTTGATAGTCTCTTACACTGATAGTCATTATAAGATTACCCTCGAATAAGACAGAGTTACCAGCTAATTGTTGTTGCTTATTCCAAAAGGTACATTTAAAATATGGTATTCGCCGATAGCAGACAGAGTATATATATAATAAGAGCAATTTGATCATTCATCATGCAGAACGTCAATTAAATCAAAACAAAACCTCTTGGTAACCGTTTGCTTTTCATGAAAAGAAAAGATACTTATGAGTGCGTTGGCATCACGACATTAGCCTTGGTGCTGACGGCATCCTCAGCGCGCCACAAGCTCGTCACTGTCTTCTGTTGTGTGTAGAACTGGAGACCAGGCTTTCCGTAGAATGTGTTCGCACCACCGCCAGCAACACTCTTCTTGTTACCGGTGAAGGAGAACATCGGGAGCGGGACGGGGATTGGGACGTTCACACCGATCTGGCCAGCTTCAATCTCCTTCTGGAATTTCGAAGCAGTGGGGCCCGAGCAAGTGAAAATAGCTGCGCCATTACCATATTCGTTCTTGTTGATGAGATCGATGGCGTCGTCGAGGGTTTCAGATTCCAGGCAGACAAGGACAGGACCAAAGATTTCCTGCTTGTAGCACGTCATCTCTGGGGTAACGCCAGTGATGATGGTAGGGCCGATGAAGTTGCCGTTGGGATACTTCTCGGGCTTGAAGTTTCTTCCATCAAGGAGGATGGTGGCTCCCTCCTTCTCGGCGCTAGCGATCAGATCTTCGATGCGCTTCTTGCTTTCGGGGCTGATGACGGGGCCAAGGTCGGCTCCTTCTTCAAATCCTCCGTTGACGTTCAGGGCCTTGGCTCGCTCTGCCATCTCCGGGAGCCACTCCTTGGTCTCGCCCACTGTGACAACAGTGCTGAGGGCCATGCAACGTTGGCCTGCCGCACCGAAGGCTGCTCCAACAATGGCATTGAGAGTCTGGTTCTTGTTGGCATCGGGCAGCACAGCAGCGTGGTTCTTTGCTCCGAGGTTGGCCTGCACGCGCTTTCCGTTGGCAGAGCCACGGGTGTAGATGTACTCTCCAGCACGGTTGCCACCAACGAAGCTGATGGCCTTGATTTCAGGAGCGTCCAGGATGAAGTCGACGGTCTTAGCAGAACCGTGGATGATGTTGATAACGCCGGGAGGGAAACCTGCCTCCTTGGCCAATTCTGCCAAGATCATGGCAGCTCCAGGGTCACGCTCAGAGGGCTTCATGACAAGAGTGTTACCGGTGATAGTGGCAATAGGAATACACCAGAGGGGAATCATGGCGGGGAAGTCTATAAGTTTGTTAGTGCTTGCCATTGGGAAATTGGGGAATATACTATCATGGGGTAACATACTGAAAGGACAGATAGCAGCCACAACTCCCAGGGGCTCCCTGTAGCTTCGAGTCTCCATATCCTTGGCTACTTCCAGAACCTCGCCGGTAATCTGGGTAGTAATACCACAGGCAGTTTCCGCCACCTGCAGACCACGGAGAACATCACCCTTGGCATCGGCGAAGGTCTTACCCTGCTCAAGAGTAATAGACGCAGCCAGACGGTCCCAGTTAGCACGGATGAGGTTTACAAATTTAAACATAATCTGCTGTCTAGCCATAACACTTGTGGCCCTCCAAGCAGGGAAGGCCTGCTGAGCAGAGTCAACTGCGGCGCGGAGCTCTTCATCGGTGCTTTGGGGTACACGGGTAACGAGTTTGTTGGTGGCCGGGTCAAATAGATCAATCCACGTGCTTGCCTTGGAAGGCAGGAACTCATTGTCGCGGAAGTTGGTGGTATCAATTGGGTTGGTGATGGTTTCGTGACTCGTCGGGTATTCGGTGGCGGTACTAGCCGCGGTTGTAGTTGCGGGGGCGAGCTGTTGAGCAGTGGCGTGAAGCCTGCGTCGCGCGGCTACGGAGCCGTTTGATAAGGTCTGTGATGCCAGTACGCGGGGTGAAGACATAGATGAAGTCGCAATAGAGCGAGACGCTGATGCCGCAGCTGCCCTGGCGGGTGAAATGCTGGCCACAGTCGTGCGGGGAGAGGCAGCGCGGAGAGCGGGGATGGACCGACTGAGAGACCGACGGGCGGCCATCATGAATCAAAGGGAATGAGTAGAGGATTGATTAATCGTGATAATATCGATGGGGTTTGGGGAGATATGAGGAGTGGTGGTAAGAAGAGGAAAGGAATGGCGAAGACATTCAAGGGAGAGAAGACCGTGGGTATATGTACCGAGCTCAGTTGTGTTACGATGTTATCCGCCCGCTCTTTTCCCCAGCCCGAGGGAAACCGATAGCGGCTCTCGGCAAAATCAGCCAATGATATTGCTGTTTCGCATCTGGAAGGCCATTCCGCCGACCCCATCCAGGGTATCGAATTCCGATAGAGCTCAATGACGGCCGGCCTAGCTGGGCTCAAGAAGCAGGTTTAGACACATATTCCGCAGGATTTACTTTCTTGTTTGGATTCTTGTTCACGCTGGGAGCCATTTCGGCATCTCCAAAACGTGTTTTCGGCTGAACTCTCGGTGTTATCAGGAGCGGGGATCCTCATCGTCTCCAAATTGGGGTAATCCGGCGGCCAGGCTCAGGTTGGGGTTACCTGTCGCATATCGCGCCGAAGTCGCCCCAAGCACAGAATAAAAGACGCCCCGAACGCTACGAGATGCAGCATTTCTGCGCATCAGCTATTCGTTCTCAATCCCCTGGTACATTCTGGTTCACGCTGCTCGTGAAGTTCAATATCGCTTCCCCACCTACTTATCAGACATGGTATGTAACAATACAGGCCTGTGGCTATTTGGCCAGTCATAGGACACTAACATGCTACCTGTGTTGGTCGAGCCTTAGAAACATGGAACATGATAAATTTAAAACTTGCTTATCAAAATTCATTGTACATATGGTTTGTTCTCGTAGAAATGTCATGCTAACAGGATTAAAATCCTCGATAAAATTGCGCAACAGCTTCGAAATCGGAATGGGGAATATAATGCTTATTATCCGTGCCGTGCTTAGAGTTTGACTTTTCTTTGCGATTGTATGGCTCTTCTCTGCTCACTCAACCTATCTAGCGCACGGTCTTATTCTGCGGAGGATCGGGTAGTACGCTTAGTGGCACCGCCCTTGGCGGTTTCCGCGGCGGAGCTGACAGCCTCACTGGCCTTCTCCGTTGTAGCCTTGGCAGCCTCCTTGCCCTTCTTAACAGGGGCGGGTGCTGGGCTGCTAGCCCCAACGGCACCAACAATGATGAGGATCATAGTAACGAGAATGGCACCAAGGCCACCAGCCACCTCAGGAACCTGCTTGACGGCGTTGACGGGGTCTTCCTTGGCGAGACCAACGAAGTGGTCAACCTTCTCGCGGACATAGGTGACAGGGTCCTCTTTGAACGTGACGCTAGTACCAGCCTCCGTCTCCTCCTTCTTAGGCTTGGAAGCTGTCTCCTCAGCCACCTCGATAGCGTGCTTGACATCAAATGTCTCCTTGCGGAGCTTCTCAGCATCCTCGACAGAGTGTCCAATGTAAATGTTATCAAACAGAATGTCGTTTTGCATAGTCCAGATCTCAAAGCCAATCTAACAGCCGGTTAGTATAGCACGGGGTTTAAGGTTGCGGTGTAGAGGGGTCTTACAGCGCCAATGGGCTCGAAGTTAGATGGGGTCTTGTCTTCATAGTAGGCAGGGTTGGCGATCTTGCGGGGAGCCCAAGGTCCCTTGTATGCGGGGTTGTCGATAAGAGGAGCAGACCACTTGCCCTTATAGGCAGGGTTCTTGATCAAGGGAGGAGACCAGGGGCCACATCCAGAGACTTCGCTGCACTTGGGGTTGGGAACGGTGGGAGGGATCCAGTCACCATCTTCCTCATCATCCCAGTCCTCAGGCTTCTCGGCCTCAGGGTCTGGAACGCTGTTAGGCTCATCCTCTAACCAGTCCTCGGGCTTCTCAGCAGCCTCGTCAACAATCTCAAAGGGGGCCTCCTCGTCCCAGTCATCAGGCTTGGTTGCCTCAGGGTCGGGGATCTTGGCCTCATCAACCCAAGTGTCGGGCTTCTTGTCCTTGGGGTCATCGATTTCCTTCTCGGGGTTGACGGCAGGGCTAAAATCCTCGAGAAGAGTGCCGTTCTTGACAGCATCGCCGTCAATGAGGATCTGGAAGGATTGGTCGGGGCGAACAATGAGGGTGTAAAGGGAACTGATCTTGCTGGTACGGGCGGCAGGAGGGGCCTTCAGGTGCTTCTCCTCGTACTCGCCAGTCTTGGGGTTCTTGTGGCGGAAAATGAAGTGAACCTGCGAACAATAAGCACATGCCCATAAAGGAATAATTTGTGGCCGGTCGTACCTTGTTAGTGGCACCGCATTTGTCGGGACCAAACATGATCACGTAGGGGGTGGTGTTAGAGAACTCATCAGAGCTGAGCTTCTTGTTGTCTTGGAGGAGCTTCATGTAGGCACCGCCGCAGACCAGGGAGTCTTAACCGACACAGTCAGTAACGAAATGAGAGCCCAACAGCGAAAAGTATTCACTTACTCTGCGGCTTAACCTCATATTGAACGACAAGAGTCTTGCCCTTGTTATCAACCTTCTTCGGGAACTTTGCGGAGATGGCGTGGTGGGCCGCAACATTCTTGACGACCAGACCCTTGTCTCCCTCGATACCCTTAAAGACGGAGGGTTCTTCAACAGCCCATTCGCCGACGTAGGCCCAGTCCTCCTCGGATTTGGAGTCTTCCTTCTTCGCATGCGAGGGATTCCATCGCGATTGCCAGTCATCGGTAAACTGTTCCAAGAAAGGAGCCTTAAGCTCGGTGGGCTAAACGCGATCGAGTCAGCGAACAAAAACTACCACAAGATTATTGCAAAAGAACTAACCGTAAAGGTAGGTCGCTCGACCACCGAGGCAGCATCGGGGGCGGCTTCATCCTCGGCGGCATGGGCGTAGCCCATGAGCGAGGCCGAGGAGACCAGGGCGGAGGTAAGAGCTGTGTTGAGACGCATGGTGAAAGGTAAGAACAAACAAACAAGCGTTCAGGCAATTGGCCCCCCCGTGGAGGAAAGGAGAGCGCGAAGTCGAGTCGAGATGAACGACAGAGGTGGGCTGCACAGCGCAGAAGAGGACGGGAGAAGGAAGGAAGGAGAATCGGGGAAAGAATCACAGGAGGTTATATAAAGCAATGAAGCTGGTAAGTTCAAGGTGGCCTCTTCCGCCGCCCGCTGCTTAATTGGGTTAGTGCCGGTTCTCCAATGTTCTGTCGGCAGATCTGACTCCCCTTCACAATCTTATTCCGAAGTCTGCCAATAGTCCAGGGTATGGCTTGTTACGCCCAAGTGAACAGCGCGATACATTGCTTCAAAAGATATAGTCTACATCGTGCAAGTTAACTTAACCTTGGGCCTCTATGGTTCTGCAACACCTGGTGCGGTGAATAACTACCGGGGAAAGCTTAGCAATTTGGGGAAGTGGCCACCAATCTAATGACAGTGGATTGATCACAGAGCACCTTCAACAGGAGTGAGACATTTCACTCTGTTGATCACGGCTGTCCCTTGTTAGTAGCACCTAGTTGCGATTAAGCTCATAGCTTGAAGCTGTACTTATGGCCTGCAGCGATGATTCGATGATTATTATGAATAAATAGTTACGACCTAATTATGGATAAGAATGACATACCCAGTCCATGGCCCGCTCGGAACTGAGAACGAAGGAGGGTGAACGAAGCAAGAGAACTGGTTGGTCCATTTAAAAGGTGAAGAGCACAAGTGGGGTCCCGATTTGCAATCGCCAATAATTTCTGTCGCGACAGGCCTCGACATCGTTCTGCTGTATAACCCCCCCTCGCCCTCATTCCCTTCTGTCATTCTCGTACGACTTTCTCGTCTGTTTTCAGGTCTGAATTTCAGCGAAAAGTGCAATTATTTTGGCGGCCAAACTTTCCAGCTTCTGAAAGTCGACTATATAATCTTTCGACCATCCGCCATCGCATCACAATGGCCCAAGAGGTTCAGCAAGATAACAATGACCATCTGATCAAGTCAGAGGACCCAGAGCACCCAGCCAATTTGATTCCCGATCTCTGCCGCAAATTCTACAATTGGGGATGGGTTACTGGCACTGGTGGCGGGGTAAGCGCCTGTCACATTTCGGAATCCGCACCAGTACACCCGGCTGACTGCTTTGTCCTAGACATCCATCCGCAATGGGGGACACATCTTCATTGCTCCTTCTGGTGTGCAGAAGGAGCTGATGCAGCCACACAATATCTTTGTCCTGGAGTTCCCCACCCCCAAATACCCTCCCTCCGACCGCAAGTACATCCGCAAGCCTCTCGCTTTGAAGCCCTCCGCCTGCACCCCGCTGTTCCTCGCTGCCTTTGAACGCGGTGCTGGCTGCTGCATTCATACTCACTCCCAATGGGCTGTCCTGGTTACACTCCTAGTTGAGCGGGAGAAGGGCCCCGAGGGGTGCTTTGAGATCAGCAACATCGAGCAGATCAAGGGTATCCCTAAGGGCCCAGGTAAGGGCATGTTAGGATTCTTTGATACTCTTAAAATCCCGATTATCGACAACACTGCTTTCGAGGAAGATCTTACCGGAAGCTTGGAGAAGGCCATGGATGCCTATCCGGATACTTATGCTGTGCTTGTGAGGAGACACGGAATGTTAGTTCATCCCGCACACTGTTCTTATCCTTCAATATAATTACATGCTAATTCATATGTACAGCTATGTCTGGGGCGACAATGTTGCAAAGGCGAAGACCCAATGCGAGAGTCTGGATTACCTATTCCAGCTTGCTGTTGAAATGCACAAGCTCGGTATTCCATGGGTCAAATAAATAGCGGCACGGGCCCGACTGCCCTGTCAAGGCTATTATTCACGGAGTTACGAAGAGAAAGATGACCGTTGCATGTAGCGCTTGTGGATAGAATTGTGTGGTGTTGATGGTTTTGTTTTCGAGAATATAGTATTAGAACTGTGTAAAGCAGATATATATATCTGGTAATACGTCATGTACAAATATTTAATACGTCCTTAGCACGTAGTAAGACTCGAAAATAGAAACACCAGACCCCAAAAATACGATTAGTGAGGAGCTTTTCGAAGAGAGTACGGAGTACATTCTGTTTGCTGAGTATAAACTAAGAATTGATGTTGCCTTGAAGCTTAGCGGGGAATTAAACAATGCAGACTAGCTGCCGCGGGCGGTGTTGGACCAAAGCTGGCCTGCTGGGATCTCCGACTCCTCAACTGCCATCCCGTATCAGCTCTCCCCATTCACATTCCAGTATCACTTATACAGTTTAGCCGAGGCCTTACTCTCATTATTTCTGTGCCATATACCCATTGCTTTATCTGGTCCCGATAAACTCATGGATTTGGAAGGCGGGGATTCTCCATGGGGCGGTAGGTGTCGGGCAGAGGCGTACAGTTGCATCACAGCTAACCCGGGGTGCAGATGTGCCCTCACAGTCGACTGGCAATCTCGGTGCGCCACGGTCGGACACCGAAGGAGCAGGTATATTGTCACTGATACTCACTCGCCTTCTTTCCTACCATACTAACCAATCCGCATTTGCGCAGCTCCGGACCAACCAACACAGCAAGACACCGCGCGCTCATCGGTACGACGAGGCCCCCGGGGCAGAGGCAAGATCAATGCACAGGCAACAAAACTAGAAGCAGTTGACGATACATTTGATCCGCTCGGTCCGCTCGGTGACAAGCCCGTCGAAAGCAGCCCGACTAGCACCGAGCAAGCCCCCATACCACCCCAGAAGGAAGCTTTTGCGGGTCGCAATGTGCGTCCGACCTCGTCCGCGTCCCAAGTATCCAGCGGTGCCGGTATGATGGACTCGGTAAACCTGGAAGAGGATGGCACGGGATTTAGAAACCCCCCGCCGGTCCAACCTCCAAGCGACGCGGAATCCGTCAAGAGGCAACAACAGCCGAGTGTTAGCGTGGAGAAGGCTGCCCACCCGACTTTTGATATCTCCGTCGGTGATCCTCACAAAGTTGGCGATTTAACCAGTAGCCATATAGTGTACCAAGTCAGGACCAAAGTACGTCACCATCCTTCTCTATGAACCGGAGAGACATGAAGCTGACTTCGCCGCAGACGACTTCGAAAGCGTATCGCCAGCCCGAATTTACTGTCAGCCGACGTTACCGTGATTTCCTATGGCTCTACAACTCTTTGCACAGCAACAACCCCGGCGTGGTCGTGCCTCCCCCGCCCGAGAAGCAGGCAGTGGGCCGCTTTGATACCAACTTTGTGGAGTCAAGAAGAGCTGCGCTGGAACGTATGCTTAACAAGACTGCGGCCCACCCTATCCTCCAACATGATGGGGATCTTAAGATCTTCCTTGAGAGCGAAGCATTCAACGTGGATGTTAAGAACAAAGAGAACAAGGAGCCTGACCTGGGCCAGAGCAAGGGCATGTTTAGTTCATTTGGTATCAGTGTTGGCGGGGGTGGAAAGTTTATCGAACATGACGATGTGAGTTACTACGGGGTCTCCGTTAAGCTCCTAGCTAATTATGGTAAAGTGGTTCCACGATCGAAAGATATATTTGGACGCGCTTGAGAACCAGCTTAAGGCATTGATGAAAGCCATCGACACAGTTGTGGCTCAGCGAAAGGGCCTGTCAGAGGCTGCTGGTGAATTTTCGGTTTCAATACAGTCATTAGCTGCCGTAGAGCTATCCCCGCTTCTCTCTGGCCCTCTTTACGGGTTATCGGATCTCCAGTTACGTATTAAAGAACTCTATGACCGCCAGGCGCAGCAGGATGTGTTAACGCTAGGGATTACAATTGACGAATATCTTCGCTTAATCGGTAGTATCAAAACGGCGTTCACCCAGCGTCAAAAGGCCTACCATAGCTGGCACGCAGCCGAGTCGGAGTTGCAAAAACGCAAGAACAGCCAAGAGAAACTTCTTCGACAAGGAAAGTCACAACAAGACCGGCTGAATCAGGCCAACGCGGATGTGGCAGATGCAGAAAGGAGAGTTCATCAGGCAAGGCTGCTATTTGAGGATATGGGCAGGTTGATGCGAAATGAGCTGCAGAGATTTGAGAAGGAGAAGGTGGAAGACTTCAAATCTGGTGTGGAAACATTCCTGGAAAGTGCCGTGGAAGGCCAGAAGGAGGTTAGTGACCCTGAGACACCGAACAAATAACGTTGATCCAACTAACATGACGCAGCTAATCGAGCTTTGGGAAACCTTTCTCCTGCAGCTTGATGCAGGCGAGGACGATAATCCTTTCTACCCACCTGGTCCTGAACAGAATACCTCTGCAGAACCGGCCCCAGAGGCGCCTGCTGAAACTGCTTCATCGACGGCTGAAGAGGCATGAGATCGTTTACTTTCTTGCTCTGTACAAAAAGACAAGCAGCGAATATCCCTTATCTCGTTTTATCCGTTCTCGTCCGTCTGTGATGGTATCATGATCTCTATGTTAGGGCGAATTCTGTGCGTAATCCAACTTATTCTACATTGTCGATACTCCGCCAAGGTCGGAGATATATTGTAAAACATTGCTGTAGGAAGCTGAACCTCAATGCAAAATTCTGGTGATGCTATGATATACTGTACAAAAGCCTAGAATACAACCCAGTCATCTAAAATACTAAACGAATCCATCTTCGCCCTCCAACATCATCAATCCTCATATTTATTTCTTCTTCGTCCCCTCAGCCTCCTCCTGCCCGAACGAACTAATCAAATCCAGCAGATTATCCTCCTCCTCCTGCGCCTCGGCAGCAGCAGCTTTCCCGTCCTCTGCCCCCTTATCAGCATCCGCACCGGCCTCTTCAGTAGGGGTGTTCGCATCCCAACTCCTTCCAAACTTCGCTCGGAAAGCTGCCAATCGCCCGGCCTCATCGTCTTCCACACTTCTCAGCTTGCTGCTGCTGGGGTTCCACATGATCGAGTTGCGCGTGTCCCTTGTTGATCGGTAAACGGGCAGCGGGGAGGTCGTGCGGTGCAGGAATGTACTTCCGTCCGAGAGCGTGATGAGTTGCGTAAAGGTGTAGGGTCGCTTCGGCCGACGAAGCAGCGACGCATGCCGACATTGTGAGCAGATGAAAGTGGTAGATTGTTTTATGGTTGGTGAGGCCGCGGTGCGGCGAAGCGTGGTGTGGAGAGACATTGAAGCGGTATAGTAGTATCCGATATATCGATTCCAATTAAGTGACGTGGTAACCCGGGTTGGTAGGGTGGATTGAATTGCCTGGAGCCGAGTAGTCCAGGTACAATCGGGATGTTGCTTGTGGCCTTGTACGGAGTTTCTTCGTGTCGAGAAATTTGGTCGGAGGTTTGTAGGATTACATAAGCGGCTTCCCGAACTTTTCTTTCCGGAGCGCATACAACCAACCAACCCTCCGGCTGCTTTATAGAGATTCTTATCGCTGAGCCGCAGCTGCCGGGGTGCTCATGAGAATGGTTACCCGCTGATCAATATTTGTGGCTTTTCACGATGTATGTTGGCGTACCGGATTGTCTTTTCTCTTGTAATTTGTTCGCCCTCGTGCCTATCCTCCGCCGGGATGAAGCTCCTTCACTCCCGAGCTCTGCTATCTGCCTCTCGGAGTGCATCGTGCAGAGGTTCGTCTACAAGAATATCCTGTTTCAGGAAATCATGTAACTAATATGGTATATAGGCACCCGATGTACTGCTATATGGCCGGTCCAATCGTTACCACATAGTCCACCGCAGCAATGGCACCTCTACCGAACCCTCACCACCAGTGCAACCCCATCACCCAGCACGAACACCCACCAAGATGACCAAACCCTCTCTCTATCAACCCAAGTCCGCCTTCTCATGCGTCAGGTCCCCTACCCAGTTGCAATTATCACATCAACCGACCCCGCCCCGTCTAAAACACATCATACCGAGACAGAGTCAAACCTAACATCCCAATTCCGCGGCATGACTGTTTCCTCCTTCAACACCGTAACTCTCACCCCACAACCCGTCATCTCATTTAATGTGCGCCGACCCTCCGAAACTCTGCATGCGCTCCTCTCCTCAGGTAGATTCCTCGTGCACCTCCTGGCAACAAATCCACACACCGCAGCATTAGCACGGGACTTTGCGCGCGGAAACCAGAACCTCGCCCTAGGGGAGGGCGAGTTCGAGTTCGTGGGAGTTAAGCCCTCCACTAGCTTCCCTGCCAATGTGGGAGATAGTCAATCAGTGCCCTCCCCTCCCCTGCCTCTGCTTCAAAGAAGACCGAAGAAGCAGAATATAAACCCCTCGGCCGAATCCGCATCCACGCCTAGCTGCTTCCCGTTTATATTCGAGTGCCAGATTCTCCCACAGAGCGTTGTCAACGTGTATGACCATACTATTGTTGTTGGGGCGGTCGTGCGGGCGATAACGAGCGAGGGGGCCAATGAGCTCGAGACCTCATCTCAAGATCTGTGCTTGACCTATGCAAACACCAAGTTTTGGGAGGTTGGGGATGAGGTGGTTTAATATTAAACGATGATTAGACTCGCGTGGCTCTGAGTGCTGCGATGATTGCGGATGAATGTATATACTACTACTTACTGCGGCTACCATGTACCATACATAGATATGTTTTTGAACTACATAATGCTACTACTACTAAAAGGATAAGATGAACAATAGAACAATTATAAACGTCAGAACCAAAATTTGCTTGTTCGGCAAAAAATATAAGGCATGACTCTACTCAACGAGCGCAAGATCTATGGACCATAGGCAATTGGGAACTATATAATCACCATACTCCGAACCAATCAAGCCACAATACTGGCTGCCCGAGGACCGAATATGGACAAGGTCTCCCATGTTTTCATCTCTTTGTATTTGGCTGGTACTGGCACTCAGTTTCCTTTTCCACGTGCAGAGCTGGGGCTGCCGCTGCCGCTACCACTTCCTCCGCTTGCACCGCTTCCGGTTCCACTTGCGCGGCTGGCGGCCCGCTGGAAGGGACTGGTTATAGGCCGCAGTCCAGGGGCGTTGAGTGGGTTGCTGTCAGATCCGGAGCCGCGTCGGTTCTCGTTACCGAGTTCAAAAGGGTCAAGTCCGAACGGCATACGGCGGCTTGTTGCGTTGTCTATAAACTCGGAGCCATAGACGCTGCTCCGCGCAGATTTGTTGGAGAACGAACGGTCACGGTAAACGAAGTCTGGGTCGAGAAAAGAAACCGTATTGCCGAATGGAGAGCTAGAGAAGGCATTGTAGGATGGGGCCGCGATCGGACTTGTCGGATGAGAGGGCGCAGTACCAACCGGAGAGGACGCATGCTGAAGCGGACTGGACTTGAGAGTAGAAAAGTTCTGGCCTAGCAACGAGCGGTGGTTGGGGATATTGGTTGCTAAGGAGCTCAAAGGCATGCTTGGTGCGTCTGTGAATGTGCTGGTACCTGGCAGCTCGCCCTCGGGAGTGAGCGGAGCTGGTTCCATGAGCATCTGTTGTTGTTGGATAGCTTGTTCGACGGCGGTACACTGCTGCCACAATTGGCTAGTGCGGGCTTGGTAATCCTGGACCGACTGGGAAATGCTCGCGAATTGTTCATTGAAACTCATCTCCAGCTTTGCCTGATCTTGTTCTCGGGCGAACTGCTCCGCAGCGCGCCGTTCTCGCTCGTTCAGGCCCTGGGCGTTCGCGGAAATGATCCGTTCGTACTGCTCGTTCACTCTGGTTCGTCGGCCCTGGAGACGTTCGCGCCTTTGGGCGGTAGATGTCAACTCAGACTCCAACGAAGACAAATCGCGGGCTTTAGCAGTTCTCGCCGCAGAAAGGTCTGCCTTGGCCGACTTGAGAATCTCCAATTCCTGTTCGTACTTGGCTTTCTGCTCAGACCATTCTTGATATTCGTCGTCCGGAATATTACCGAGGTTGTCAATTTGGTTGTCCAAAGCAGCAGTTGCCTCCTCGGTTTGTCGAATGGTTCTTTCCAGTTGGAGAGAGCGCTGCTTTTGTCTGTTCTCATCCGTACCGCTTTGAAGACGATTATTGTAGTTATCCAGCTCCTTTCTGATCTTAGAGATAGCTAGCTTGTGATCGTTTTTGGCCTTTCTGAGCCGCGAGCGCTTTTCGTTCAGTTTTCCCTCGGCGTTAATGATGGAGTTCTTTAGCGTTGTGGTTGGAGAGGAAGGTCGATAAGACGGCTGTGGTGGTGTCGGTACCGAGTTGGCTGTTCATAGAACAAGTTAGACTCAGCTGAGGGAATTTTAAAAAACAACGGGGATGAGTCTCTTACCTTGTTCTGCGTCATTGGCCGGGGGCGTCTTGACACTCATGGCGCAGATTTCCTCATCGGTATCGCTTTTTACAAAAGAGCAGGTATAGGCACAATTGGGGGCAAGACCTGAGACCTCGCCCCGCCAATAAACAGTATTGGACCCTTTTGAAGAATCATGTTCTTTGCTGATTGTCGCCGTTGCCCATGGGGCACCATTAACACAGACGTAGAACGGTTCGGTATCATCGCTTCCCAGATTCCCAGCTTCGCAAGCACCTGACCCGGAAATGTCGTCTGCGGAGGCGAAATCCCCCGCTGCGAATTTGATCGTCGAACTATCCACATTGGTAATCCAAACAAGTCCATCATCCAAAGAAACGCCCTGAAGATCATCCTCCGTCGTTGTAAGTCCCTTAGTAGTTTTTGACAAGGCTCTAGAATGCTCATATTCCCTCATAACCGTCACCTTTGTGCTTGCTAGAGCAGCCCAAAACGGCTGACGGCTCCGGACTTGATTCGCCTGCCTTCTTCGCTTCTTCGCCGAAATCAATCGATCCCTGCCGTCCTTATGCGTGATAATCTGACCATCTGGTCCCAGGTATGATGAGACGCTAGCTGCAGACTCAAACGCTGAATCGATTTGTGTTTGAGAACCAGCCGACGCTTCCGTATCCACACGCTTTCCCGAACGAGAGGGGGCCTGAGTTTTGTTTTTCGTCATCGATCGTCTCGCCATTGCGGTGCCTGCCTGGGCCAAAATATGTACAGCAAGCAAGCTCCGCATCCAGCTCGGAGATGATTGCGATTCTGTGCGCTTGAATTCGGCCGGCATGAGGTAAGAATAATGCGACAGTAAGTCGGGGCTGATTATTTTCGCGGAAACGAGGTGACCGATGACAAAATCCTGTATGCCTTTACTACGTATGAGGTGGAGAATCAGAACAATACCCACGCAAAGAGCATTGACGCCCCCGTTTTTCCCAGCGCCTCCACCGCCTAGGGTTATGGCGACCTGAACATGAGCTAAATCAAGAGCAAAGTTCTGAGCCCACGTCCACATAAAAAGACCCCAGACCAGTAGGCAGAAACCGTCCATCGCGATCATTGTTCCGAGCGAAGGGGTTCCGGCGGGGCCTTGGAAAATATCGAAGTTGGAGGTGAAAGAGCCAGCGGATGTGCCGCTGGGAGGCATAAAAGTCAAGGACGCAAACAAGAATTGAACCAGGGTAAGAACCATAGGCGGGAGCTGCAGCAAAAAGATCAGAATGGCGATAGTGTCGTACATCGGGCAAGATCTGAGAATGGTGGATGCCAGTTGGAAGGGGTTCACAGATGCATTCGAGGTCGTCCTCTTGGTCCCAGTAATCGACTTGTCCGCACGACGCGAGGCATGCCCGGCGAGTCCGCAATTCGGTGCCGCAGCACCGTTCGTTTGGCCATATGACATATCCGCATTTCCCTTCGCATAACCGCCCAGATATCCACGTCCGTTACTCTCCGCTTTCGAGCTCTCGATGGGACCGTTAACTTTCGCTGTCGGTGTCTGATCTCCGGAACGATGCGATGGCCAGTCGACCTGGGAGGAAGGGCCGGTTTCCGATGTAGCGGCGCCGTTGTAACTCGCGTTTAAATGTCCGCTCGATTTTTGCTTGCTTGGCTTCTTCCCAGAACCACCGGGGCCATGATCTTGTCGATTGCTATGACTCTTCCTAGCCGTAGCCGATGAACGTGGCATGGACGAGGGAACCCAACACCTAGGTCCTAGTCGGCTTGGCAGATAGCAGCCAAGGACTTGGACCAGGTGAGAAGTGAAGTCGAAGACAGTTCTAAAAGATTTCGCGGGGATAGGCGGGTGACGAATTGGAGGTGGGAGACTCGGGTCCAGGAACTGTGCAGTAAAATGAATGAATGACAAGGGAGAAACGTGGGAAAACTAGCAGAGATGAGAATACAAAAAGCAAAGAAGGAAAGAATTCGAATAATAAGATAGAGAAGAGGGTGTGAAGGGTAGAGAAGGGGGATAAGACGTGGCGTGGGGGGGTGTAGAGGGGAGAGGAAGGAGAGGGAGAGAGGAAAAATGGACGAGATTTGGTCGACCTTTGGTTGGGTCTGGATAGAGAGGCGGGAAAAAGACGAAACGAAAGATTGGAAACTGATCGTCAGAGTTAAGGCAACTAGCTGGTGGCCTGACGTTGCAGGAATCAACATGCTGAGCTCCTCGTCACGTCATGTCAGGGAGAGCTTTAGGACGTCCGCTTCTCACAGAAATTCCGTAATATACGGTGAAAAAACAATACCATACGTCGCCCAAAAATCCAAAGAGCGCTGGGTTCCGGTTGGCTCATCCCGCTACATTTATTTTTAGATAGAGTATCCGCTGCCAGATTTGGGATCGAGAGTATAAACTATGAGCTTAATTATCGCTTCTATCTATATATTAAGCCGGAAATTCGATGGAAGAAGTGTGCTCTGAAGTACCCAATTGGGCTAGTGAGCCTAGTGTAGTTGGAATGGAGGCTGACACTTGGCTCTTGTGATGGTCAATCATTCCGGCCTCCCGCCGATGGCGTTCGCTTGGCTCGATACTCGTCATCATTCTTCAGGAAATGCCTTTAGCAGACACAAAAGCCTATAATGAAGTGACTGTGCCCTGAACCCCTCGCGAGTGAGAGCTTAGGGTCATGCCATGTCTTGTTCCCGCACAGGGGGTTTCAGATCGGCTTCCAAGATTCCCCTTGTCCCACTTCGGAGGAAGTCGATGCATAGAGAGCTGCAGAGCACGCTCCGCCTTCGTCTGGGGTATCAACCGCTACTTCTGGGCTGATATCTGCGCTTCAAAAGGATTCCGCACAGCTACGGGTTGGGCCCTTCCACGAAGTGATTGCGCTGGACTATCTAAACCGTACGCCCACTATGTATTTATCTGAACTTGGGGAAAGAGAAAACAAAAAAAAAAAAAATCTCATCAAACCGATGGCTCCTGCACGACTCGTAAGCTTGTAGTAAAATAATTCTACTTTTGACGAATCGTGCTTGTCATGGGCTAAATCGGCCGAATGCACCTGAGAATCCAGCAATTGTTACCAAGTTTCCCCCTCCTTGGTGCAAGTTGCAATGTCACCATGCACCTTGCATTTTTCCTTACCACATAATCCATGATAGGGTCATACCAAAGGTTGATCTGCCGATCTTGTCTCGAGCCGTTTGCCCTGGGGTTTGCGGTCTGCGGGGTACTGGTCATTATGAGTGTGAGAAGCCCGAGCTGCGCGGGAAAGTTTCCTCCCAACAATATGAGCGCATTAGTGTAAAACGGAACACTGGCTGCAGAACTGTGACTGGTCTGATATTGAATAGACAGCTGATGATAGCCGCACAGAAACGCTGTTGCAGAAAACCCATGCCCCAGCATCGTATTTGACCAGGGAGGCTATGGAAATATCACTTCACGTCTTCCGCTGTCAAAACGGCACTGCAACAACACAGCAGATGGGGCTAGCTGCCAGGCCTTCCATTAAAAATGAAAAACGCTTGGTAACCCGTCACACACAGCTCGTGTGCTGCAAAGAATTGGGTTTGCCCGTAACTCTTTGGGTGGAGGTAGATAAGCTCCCGAGTGTTTGTGCCACTTATTTTCCAATTAGGGTAGTTTGTGGTGTGCGATTTAGGCCCGTCGTACAGAGTAAAGGAAGAGTCACCAAGAAAGATATAAGGTTAGGCTGTGACAATTGATCTCTGGAACGTTTGGAGACCAAAGAAAATAGGTGCATGGAGTCGCCATCAGACCCAGAGACGATGATCATAACACACCTATCTTTGGGGATCCTTTTTGGTGATAACAAGCCCGAACAATCCAATCGTCTCCAAGAAGCGATGCTTGCCAGACTTGGTTGGCCGTTGACTTGTTGGAGTGTCATGCAGTTTGTCAGGCATTGTATCCTTGCCTGTGAGGGCCTCCTCGTTGGTCAACCTCGACTTGGCTGGAACCAAAAATCGGTGATCGACCTGTGATGCACCAACGGGGTATTCGTGTCGGCATTCAATGGACGGATTGCCAAATCGGCCCCGCAAGGTTTGTCAGATGATACGGATGATACGGCACATTTCATGCTAGTCAAGTTGGAAAGCTGACGGCTGGCTTGCAGAAAGACGACCCCTCCTTGTGTATTGTTGTGTACACCGTATTGGAGCATCTGGTGCGTTTTGGTGCGGGAGCTGAGCACGCACCGATGACTCGACCAAGACGATTAGAGACAGACACTTTTAGTTCGAGAGACCTCGCTGATAGAGTTTAGCGTTTCGGCGGCAGGCTTGAGCATGGCGGAAACGCGTGTTTGACGAGCCAGAACCAAGGATATGACGAGCTGGAAATGCTCCAATTCTTGGAGTGGACCTGCTTAGGTAACATGCATGTGGCGCTAACAAGACTAAACGGTCGATCTCCATAATCCACTTCCTTGGCAGGTGAAAGACCCTGGTGCGTGCTGGCTTCTGGGCCTCGGGGGCACGTTTCTCTCCTCTGAGATATCCAGTCCGGAGTACTCTATGATTGAACGCCGATACAATCACCGTTTACCGGGGCAATGTGCCGTGACCTCATGCTAGATCTTCCCTCGCTCACCTCATACCCAGTCACCCGATGAAATACGTACCGCGAAACCCACCAGAGTTCTGGGCTTTGAGGTCCAGGCTCTTTAACTCCTTTGAGCAATAGTATGGCGCTAATGGGATCCAAGTTTTGCGCAAGACACAAATTCCGGCCAGCCAGCTTGCAATTCCTGAATGACGGCCCACTCCCAGCCATTCTTCCTCGGCCGGAACACCGAACACGTTCAGCCTTGCGAGAAATACAACTCACGCGGGATAAGCCGATACCCTTGAAATGGAAACCCCGAAACGCACTCTTGTGCTTCTCGTAACTCTGCACTTATTTCCTCCCCTACATATTCAGGTTGTGTTGGTAGTATTATTTTGGCCAAAGCAATAGTTAGTGGATGGCACTGCAAAGCACATCGAAGTTTGGTGGTTGTATACCTCGTATATTTCACAGACCTAATTTTTGTGGGATTTACGGCCGGAGAACTTCCGAGGTACCTTGTTTGGGTAAAAATTACACAGACTGTGATCCTATATCAACTACTTACGACCTATTCAATTAGCATACGGTTTGTAATAAGACCGGCAAGGCCATGAGACTAACTACCACTTCCCGTACCTGGGTATGGCCTCATGTTTTCTGATTAAAAGCCGAACGGACCGTGCGGGCCGTCCGGCTTGACGTCGTGGTCGCCCTCATTCTCATCTACGGTGAATAATGCCCTCTTTGCATTCTCCACGTGCCCCCCCCCAAAACGCACTGAACCCGTTGCCGCGGGGCAAACCTCCTACGGCCTCACTTTCTGAGCCTAGCGGAGCCCTAACTTAGGAATATGGTCATAACACCTAACCTAGAAATACCCGAAACTGTCATCCTCAGTGAAACGAAAGGTTTACAGTCCATGCCTCACCGATTATCAAAAGAATAGGATGTGTCTTATGTTGAGGTCCCTACTTGGCTACGTATCCCTCACATAATGTTCATTCCTTGGACTCCAGGGACTTAATACTACGCAGCTGGAGCCTGGAGCAACGTACTATTTACTACAAGCAGAAGTGGTATTTCCTATTTAGTAACTGCTTGGATCCTCCGTCTACTCTGTTCGTGCGGTCTGGACGCATCGAACTCCAGGATCGACCTAGTGACCGCCCATCTGGGGAAAAAAGTTACTTGGTCGTGCCTTCCTAGAACCGAAATAGTTAGTCCAATTCCCAGGGAAAGTGCGAGGGAGCACCTGCACTAGGTGGCTAGAAAATTCAATGGGGGTTATTTCCTTCCCAATTCGGTCTGTATCTACTGCGTCACGCTTTCCCAATGAATCCAACATAAGGTGTATTTTGTATGTGAAAGGTGCGATAGACCTCCACCCGGGTCGCTCATGCCTACCCTATAGGCGAGGAACCCGAGCAACCGCGCTTTCCCAATCCAGCTTCATATACACTCTAAGGTAGTACCTTAGATCATATGGAAAGCACGATGGATCTCTGCCTGTGATCGCTCCTGCCTGTCTCGAGTGAGAGATCACTCCTTCCTTGATTAGGCATACATATGATGGCACCTGTTGCAGACTACTGTACCATAGGGAGTACTGGGTTGAACTTACAATTAGGTCTTGACAACTGGAAAGAAGGTCAAGCCATCATGCGAGGAGGCATATTTCAACCCCAACCCACGGCAGCGATCAATGCCTGTTTCGAAGCATAGCTGGCTCTAAGTGTATATACGTGTTTACGTGGAAATACTACGAGATTGCAGACCAGTAACTGCATTGACAAACCGGGCCAGTTCGTCTCACTAAGGAGCCGAAAAGCCACGGCCAAGACAAGATATAGCCTCCTCGAACGACAGTTCGGTTTAAATACATAACATGAAAAAAAAAGCCGCCTAGGCTAACATTTGAATGGCCATTGCCCGAACTAGCATCATGGCGTCACCTATTATTCCAATGGAACATTTAGTTGATCTTGATAAGCTCAACCTCGCTAGATATGTTGTTAGGAGAGCATCGACGAGAGAAATCCGATAAGATGAAAACTTACAACTTGAGCGTCGCGTTGGCGGGAATAACGGGAGGAAAGCCGCTAAGAAAAACAAACAGTCAGCAAAAAAGCAAAAAAAAAACAAAAAAAAAAAAAAGAGGAAAAACCCCGGGACCAGGGAAGTTCCGGATTGGAAGAATCCAAAACGGCAGCATAAGAGGTCTGTCTTACCTCGCGCCGTAGCCGTAGTCACTGTATACGCACCGTCCATTAGCAATCATCCACGATTGAGGTTTCAATCAGTCAGCAAGCAGAGCTAGGATGTACATACGGAGTGCAGATCAGGTTAGCCTTCTCGCCAACACTGAGTTGAGGAACACCCTCATCCCAGCCCTTGATGACACGGCCGACACCAATGCGCGTCACAAAGGGGGTGCCACGTTTGCGAGAGCTGTCGAATTCGGAGCCGTCGGCGAGGGTTCCAACGTAGTGCATGGTGACGGTATCCCCCGGCTTGGGGAAGTTCTGGCCGTCACCGCCGGAGAGTCTCTGGACTTCAACACCCATGATGAATTTTTAGAAAGATTGTTTTGAAAGGAGTATATAGAATTGATGATTTGAGAGAGTTGGAGAGCTTGGAGGGGTAAAAACAGAATCGCAAAGCTATGGTGGGGGTGGGGTAAATAACGCCATTTGCACGTGACGTACAATACTCACCAATGGGAGGGCTGAATTAGAGATGGTAGAGGTTACATAAGCTGTTTATGGATGTTTACCTATGCGGTCATCGGCGGTCGTCGGCTGAACGAAAGGTCTGTGTGTAGAAATATCGGAAAGGGAGATACAGAAGTATCTGAGGAGTGTATGAATGTGAATATTTGCTGGTATAGGTACCTCATGGCGGCACAGACGCGGATACTGTAGCACCACTCTACCTGGAGCTAGTATATTAAGTTTGTAGTCTGCAACAATGGCCAATTCTATGGGTTTACATCTGAGAGTTTATACAGTATATGGCAAAAATAATCATAAACTGCTCTACTCTGAGCAGAATATCACTGCTTCGCTGAGCCTGTATCCTCAACAGCATCTGCTCTATCCCAGCTGTCTACCTCCAGTTTCCTAACTCTCGCTTCAATGTCAAGGATCCGCTGCCGCCACTGCCTCTTAGCTTCCTCTTGGAGCTTCCATGTATCCTTAAACTGCTCCATTAGGAAGGTCGGGATGGAAGCCTTCTTCCCTAATTTATAGTCATACGTGACAAGGTCCTCATGAACCCGAGCAGCAGGCCGCTGGCGCGCTTCAGACACAATCATGACTTGCAGATGGAATGCGAATTGGGATGCTTGTGGGGATTCGGGATCGTGGGCGAGTTTATGGTAGACCGTGACTTTGTCTGGGTATTGCATAGGCTATAGAGCAGAGCAAAGAAAAGCAGCCCGTCGTCAGCAAGAAGAATGCATTCAATGCCGACCTAGGCATGTAGACGAAGGTACATACGAATTTATAGTCGATCTTGATGCTGCGCAGGATAATCCCCAGCCCCCGGTTGCTGACGAGATTCATCCATTCTGTCTTATGAGCCGGGTCGATATGCATCGCGAAGTTGCGGGTGAAGTATACACGCGCGGTTTCGGCGTAGCGGACGTATGTGACGTTGTTGACATGTCCTAGAAATGGGATCCGTTAGAGTCGCGAGCCAAACTATAATGCCTATTAAGCGCTTTGAAAGAGAATATATACCCTTTTCCATATATCAGTCACGGCATCACATGTAGGAAACGGACAGGAGTCTCGGCAGCCTTACCATGCTGTCCTGTTGTCAAGGACACAGATTAATACGTTAGCCTATGAATCTTTGTGAGCAATCAGATGCAAGCACTCGCACAGCATACCATTTCGCCCCAAGCAACATTCTGGCGGAACAGTCCTCTTCGCGTAGCATCCGTCAAGTATCCCTCACTCCCTGCAATCAACTCCCGCCAATCCCTCGCAATCTGCTGCACGATCTCTCCAGCCTCATGGATCTGGTGCGGTTTCAATCCGAACATCATGCACCTTCCAACACGTCGTTTTGTCATGGTAAGCCATCGCGGATCAATGTCATGCGGCTTCGGAGCTGTCGGCTTTGAGCTTGGGTATTTCGCTCGGGCGTTGTTCGGCTGGAAAGAAGAGGAGAAGGGGCGAATAAAGGGGATTGACGGCTGTAGCGGCTCAAGGACCATGCGCTGGCTCCGGAGAGCCTGATTACGTATCATCGTTGGTGATCTGTGTGTGAAATGGGATGTTGAATGGATTGCGGTTTATCTACCGAGCTGGAGCTCTGGAGTCTGGGGACCACGAGTTGGAGACGAGCGGCGGCTTGAGGACCGGCACCCCACCCGCATTCGGGTACAGTCCAAGCCTCGTGGGATTACCGGCCAAACTGCTTGTCGACTTGATGGATATGGCCACTGTGATTGTTTGTTGAAAGGAAATCTCGAGATCATCGAAAAATCTGGCTCCGAACAGTTAGCCACCCCCTGCAGCAATTTGAAACAGTTGCCGATACCAGGCGGCCATCGGACAATCGCTTGGCCTGTACGACGTCACCTCCACTTCAACAAAGCAAACATCTTGTCGCACTAATTTCGACATCCTCTTCTCATCGCGTACAACCTGTTCCACATCTCTTCCTGCCCTGTGCTTGCATGGAGGAATCATGACGAACGCCGAGCTTCGTCGTCAAGTGATTAATATATACAAAGGTTTATAGTTGCCTCTCGACACTAGCTATCATTCCATGGCCTCCTGCTGACACTCTGAACCGCAGAGCTCCTGTACATGGGCCGCGAGTATCCATTAGGCTACGAATATTTTCGGACAAGATTACATCGTGCATTTTCAAGCCAAGCAAAACTTCAGAATGATGATGAAATTAGGAAAGGGATAGCGAGGGCTGAATTCGTTAAGAAAGGTTTGTGGATTCGAGCAACGGCTGCAACACTCATGAGACTAACTTTCAATTGTCTAGAAATTGAGGCTTTGTGAGTCTAAACCAATCGCCTTTCCTCATAAAATTTACGGTTTACAAAATCGCTTTGTGGAATTCAATCTTGTCATTCATGTCATATCGTCATGCAAACCCGAGATAAGCCATACAGACCCGGGAAATGGAGCTAACAAATAATCACTAGGTACTATGTCAAACGATACCGTGCGTTGAAGCAACGCTATGAAGAAAACAGATAATGCCAATCAAGGACGGTAGCGAAAACATATCATGGAAATATACATCCGAATGAGTAATAATATCAACCAAACCGAGTCGGGGGTATCACCAATATGACGTGAGCAATGGTTGCTGCGCTTTTTGCTGTTCTTTCCTGTCATCCTTACCAAAAACACCAAATACTCCTATAGAGTCCAAATCATGCCCGTCTGTCCGTGTGTATGCTGTATTGTTGGAAGGTTTATTTCTTTTGGCCCCACCAAGCGCTTACTTCCAAGCACTCTCCGTTGGCGAGGCCCCCTTTCTGGAACAAATCGCTTATCATAGCGGTCCACCACCTGTCCCACTCGTCTCTGCTCTTGCCACTCGCTTCCATGAGCATGGGCTCCATGCCTTCAATCATCTGAATGACGGTCAAGAGAGCCGTGCGTCGGATGGACAATTGCTCTGGCGTCAATTGTTTGCGAGGGCCGCTGCCATCTTTCCCGCCATCTCGCTCCCAGCGCGGCTCGCCCAGGGGAATTGCGATTCGGCGGCTCTCGACATTTCCTAATACATCGACCTCGGAATTGAACGCGAGGCCGATCGTTGCACACGGTAACGGGGTGAGTTTGCGACTGTCGAAAGCCTTCTCTACCCAAGAGTTGTAGTTTTGCAGGAACTTGTTCTGCGCATTCGTGAAGGGCGTCGCAGACGTGAATGTGTAAGTCGCAGTGGCATCCGCCGTTTCCTGTTCTTTCGAAGCTAACATGCGCGCGGGCGCAGGATTGGGAAGTAAAGAGCGGAATACGGAGTCGGAATCCCACAGCTCCAGGATTCCACCAGATCTGAGCACCCTCAGCGGCTCGCTCAATCCCTGTGCTTGCTGAGCCGGGCTGAGAGGGCACATGGCGGCATCTTTTATGAAAACAAAATCGAAATAATCGTCGGGGAATGGCAAACGGGGTTTGCGAAGATCGTGTCGTTTGTACTGCCAGTTCACACCGTTCTTGCGAAGGTCTGGCGCGATGGCCACAATGTCAATGCCATAAAAGGCAACGTCGCGATGCCCGCGACGAGCGAAATAGTCATGGCACATGCTCGACCATAGGCCGGAGCCGCATGCGATCTCTAAGACACGCTTGGGCGCTCGGTCGGGGAGATATGGGTTGCAAAACGGGCCGCCGAAAACACGCATTAGCATGAGCGAGCGCAGCGTTTGGCGATGGACCTCGGGGAGGTCGCATGGCAAAGGATAGTGGTTTTCGGGGTCTCGGAGGTAGGTACGGTCGCCCTGACGGATCAGAGGGTAGTTGGTGTAGTCATTGAGGGAGGTGAGGGAGGAGGTAGAAGTCGTTGCCCATGGCACTCCAGTTGAACTAATCGCAGAGTGAGTGGAATGAAGGTCAGAACCAGACGCTGCGGAGGGCAGGTTGGTGCTGAAAGAAGGTCCGGATCCAAGCGCTACCGACATCATATCCATGTCGAGACAGGACTAGGCGTTCTCATCAATCAAGAGTCACAGTAGATGCGCGAGGGATGGTGCTTCATCCTCGCATGGGGTAAAAAAAAGTTTTATCAATTCAGCAAGTGGCCTGAGCTGTTGGCGCAATGTTCATGGTCGTGCAGACAAGATGCAGGTTGTACAACAAATCCAAGATAAGTCTTGTAGGGAGGAAGAATGGGAAAAAAGAAATGCGGCGGGGTGACAAGGGAGTCAGTGCACCGATCAAGAACGCATGGAATAATTGGAAAAGGAGGAATCAAGATGGAGTCTTGGAGAGGGGGCAAAACACTTCAAACACGCTATGCGAAAATTCGGGCCTACTAAGTGCAGTATGCGTCCGAGTCTAGGCATGCGAATTCATTCTTCCACTAACCATGAGAAACACAGAAGAAACAAGCAGGAGAGACAGGAGAAAGGGGCTCCTGACTCGCTCAAGGTTTAAGAATGTAATACACATGTCACTAAAGCAAAGTCTATTACGCTTTTCCACTCTTTGCAGACACGAGACTGAACAATCACAGGTCCATCCCCACAAGCCCAACGTCTCGAAGTGCTTTGCTCCTTCTCCCTGACACTCCGTTTTTCCAACGCCTGCATTCGGAAAGAGAAAACCCTGCGTACTTTTGCAGCACAGGCGAATGAAGTCTCGCATCTTCCGGCTTATGGCTGTGGAACCCTGAATTTTCCGCCCGCCAAACTTCTCTGTGGCCAGTCTAACGAGACTCTAACGTAGGTACAGCAGGCTAGTGGCGGATTTGCCGTCAAGAATCAGGATCCGGATCTCTTCCAAGTTTCAACGCAAGGCCTTACAGGGAGTGGTTGACATCACGATTCGGTTGCAGATAGACTTGACCATCGACGGGGCCGGCTCGGCTCAACCGAACCACATTCTGGATCGTTCCTTCTGGGGGATTTATGGAAGCGCGCCCAGCTCCGGATATTGCCTCCGGGCGCCAGCTGCATCAGCATCGATCCTTCAGCGTTCAACGTTTGACCGATTCTCCCAGGGGAGTGGGCACCCGTCGCTATTCCGCGGAAGTCCCCATTCGGTTTAGCCGTCTCTTTGTCTCTGCCCACTCTTGGTATTATTGTCGACGAGCTATGACTTCGCCAACGCGAATATTTTCACCGACTCCTTTAATAATCAAGAGCCTCACTGAGGCATGACTGCTTATCATTAAGTAATGAGACCATAATACGATTTTCGTATTTATTTTTCGCAGCTTTTCCTGATGCCTATTCTGCGACTTAGTGATCTACTGCGGGTGCAAGTTAGTACACAAGTACATGCACCCGCGTCGCATTTTCACCAATATTCCAATTGAACGTCAATTCAGTCCTTGAGACGTGGGAACAATGTCTGCGCCGTCTTCCACGTCTTTGAGATCAATTCCTCACCTCCAACAACCCCCCACTGCCTCGCAACCGCCTCATCCCTCACAAACGGAAAGTCCGTACCATAGAGAACATGCCCATCCGCAGCAAAATCCAACACAATCTTCAGCGGCATCTCATGCCCAACAAGCGCCAAGTCAAAATAGAACAACCGCGTCTCAGCCAGAAACTCCTCGGCCGATTTCCCAGATACCCTTGTCTGGGTATCAAGATCCGCTATCCGACCTGCAACAAATGGCAATGTCCCGCCGCCATGCGAGAGAATTATCTGACAGTCGCTCGCATACCGACGCAGCGCACCCGTTAGGATCATATGCACAGCCATCCTAGTCGTCTCATGCGACCAATCCAGCAGCGGCCGGGGAATCGTAAATGGCTCCGTAATAGATTTATGCCTATCTTCCATCGTCGGATGTGTGAATACAACCGCTTTCCAGGTATTCAGTTCTTGCCACACGGCCTCGAAATCAGGGTGTCCGAGGTACTTATCGCTGTAGCTAGTAAAAAGTGCAACGCCATCGGCCTTGAGCACGTCCAGTGCGTACCGGATCTCTTCGACACAGCGGGCTGTATCGGCGGGCGAAGGGAGACTCGCGAAGAAGCCGAGCTGCGTGGGATGCTGGTCGCAGAGGGAGGCAAGGTACAAATTGACCTCTCGAGCTAGTGTTGCGGTTTCGGCTGCGTTGTCCTGGCATATGGCCGTTAGGGACATAGGGCAGGAGAGTATGGCTGCGTTGATGGAGTTGTGCTCCATGAAAGTCAGGGTGGTTGAGGGGGCCCAGGGTGGGGGTTGAATGCCCTGTGCGAGGGCTGGGTTTCTCTCTATAGCTGGTGTTTTATCGACATCGTCAGCAGGATACTTCTTCCGTATTTGAATCCAGTGTGGATAGGTAGGTAAACAACCTTTTCTAACCGGCGGGGGGAAAACATGCTGGTGAGTATCGACCTTCAAAGGTACCATTTCTTTTGTGAATTGAGGGTAGAGTCAAGTTTGTCAACTAGATGCTTTGCAATTTGTAGCAATTTGCGGGACTTGGATGTACCGAGAGAAGAGAGGCCTCCAGCCTTGATATTAATGTTTGATGACCGTACATATGCGTCCGGGTTTCTTACGTCGGAATCTTCTTCATAGGGTTACACAGGGGCATGCAGTTCGGGCTCTCTTACGGTGACCGAGAATTTTTGTTGATGTTAAGTGGGCGACCAAGTAGTAGGTCCCAAGTAGGTCATGATGGATTCTACTATCAGTCTGGTGCAGCACGCCGGGGTGCCCTGGTTTGTATCTGTGAGACCTCACCTAAGGAAGGAAGTTGGATACATATCATGATCAATTTTGAGTTCCCTGTCGTTTGCCTGAACGCCGAATCCTATTATACACGCTTGAGTATTTGATTCAAATATACATGGAATGAAATCGAAGGAGCCACAGTATTCACAATGCAGGCTCGGGTGAACTACATAGGGTCGTGCAATGAGAGGAGACAGCAGACAATCACATAACCTAGTCGGAGTTGAATATTAGCCATGAAATCTATAGTGTAAACATTGCGTTGGAGCACATTAGAAGCTTACCTCTGCAATGGACTGCCTTTCAATAATCGACTTCTGCCTCTCATTGCGAGAAACGCGGTAGTAGTAATCGCTAAAATCACCGCACTGCATGTGGCGCAGGAATTCCTCGTCATGGGTAATCACGATAAGCTGGAAGTTTGCCTGTTGCTGGCGAGCGCGAATAATGTCGTGGAGCGACTGGGCCAGGGATCGAATATTGTCTCTATCAAGGTTGGTAGTAGGTTCGTCGAGCGCGATTAGACCGCAGTTCACGCCAAAGCACTCCGCGAGGGCTAGGCGGATAATGATACTAGCAAGGACTTTTTGGCCCGCACTGCAACGACCACGCATGTCCATCTCGGCGTCCTGTTTGACCATGCAGACTCGGTAATTGTAAGACCGATTGCCCTTTGCATTTTCATTGTCGGAACGAATGAGGATTGTGTCAACGTCGGTGCCGCGGTACGTCTTCTGCCAGAGTTCGCCAATGATGGCATTGATTTCTTCCATTTTCAAGCCGTGATACTTCATGATGGCCTTGTCAAGGGCGCTTCCGTAACGGGCTAGATCTTCGACTGCGGCCTTGGTAGTTTCGACCTTGATATGGGATTCCTTGTATTTATAGGCGGCGTCTTTGTAGTCCGTGTTCCAATCCGTTAGAAGCTGCAGCAACTGGTCGTCTTTGGACTTCATCTCTCCCATTTTGCTGGATTGTTTTGCGGACAGCGCGTTGTGTTCACGAGACCGACGCTCTGACTCTTCCTTGAATCGACTTCTATCGACTTCGGCATTCTGGGCTTCCAGTTCCTCGATCTCGCTCGCAACTTTATCAAGGGCTCGTGTAGACTGTCGATATGTCAGGTTATCAGCATACTGACGTTTTGTATTTTCGCTGTCCTTGAGCTGCGCAGAAATCTTGTTAATCGTCTTCGTTATATCTGCCTGCTCACTTTCAAGCTGGCTGATTTCCTCCTCAATGGTCTTGAGTTCGCGTTTGCTTCGATCAAGCTGACTCGGTCCACCTCGCTCATTGTATGCGTCAATTTCCTCATTGGCGAGCTCTATCTGGTGTATGCTATCAGACAATTGTGAGGTTGCCTGTTGCATCTCTCTTTCGCGCGCCTCTGCTCGTTGACTGATATCATCATACTTCGCTTGATATTTGAGTAACTCTGGATTTAGATCCTCAATGTCTTTGTCTGCTTTAGCAATGGCTTCCCGCTGCTGAGCATTGAGGCTCTTATACTCTTCTATGCGAGATATGAGATCAGTCTTCCTCTCAAGCTGGAATTTGACGTTGTCGAGACTGCTTTTCACATCTCGGAGTTGCAGCTCCAGATTGTTGAGCTCAGAACGGGCCTGTTCTTTCTCGTTCGTAAGCTTCGAAAGAGTCTTCTTAAGCGCTCTAGAATTCTCGCCAATGCTGGCAATTTCATCCTGGATATCCTCAAGTGTGCGCTGCGTTGCAACATCCTGTTCCTTTGACGAAATCTCCCGTACCTGGGAACGAATGGACTTGATCTCACTATCATATCTGACGATAGTGTTGACCGTTTTAGAGAGAGCTTCGACATCACGTTTCTTCTCGCTCACCTCGCTGACAACTTTGTCACGGTCCTCCAATTGACCTAGAAGCTCATCGCGCTGTAAAACATATTTGTCTTCTTCTTGTCGCAGCTCTGGAATCTCTGTTTGCTTGAGGCGAGACCATGTATCGTAAGCAGTGCTGGCAGCACGGGCGTTATTGAGATCTTCTTCTAGTTGTCGAACCTCCTCTTCCTCTGAATCGCGCTTGGCTTTCTGTACAAGTGTTTCAAGCTTTTTCCAAAAGGCTTTCAGCTCATTCTCGTTTCTGAATGGCCGACTGCATAGTCGACACACTTTCGCATCCTGCGCGGTTTTGAGACATGTAGACATGTACTCCCCAATACCAGCATACTGCTCGGCGTCTTTTCTCGCCATGTCCAATTGACTCTGCCGCTGGCTGACAACTTCGGAGTATTCTTCAGGCTCATCATCAATGGCTTCACGAATCTCTTCTATGCATTCCTTGAGCTCCTTTTGACGATTTTCTAGAGACTTTTTGGTGTTGTTTAGTCTGTACTCAACCTGCTCAAGTTCTCGACTGATGCCGTCCCGCGCACGTTCGGCGTTAGACACCTCTTTGGATTCATCCTCAAGAGTCCGTTGGAAGTCCTGTTCTAGGGTATCAATTTTCCAATCTTGATCAACCAGCTTCGAAAGGCGCTCGCCGTGGGCACCCTTCATCGTCTCCAAACTTCGTTCGCGCACTTTCAGTTCCTTTTTTAGGTGATCTAACCGAGCCAGATCGCCGGCTTTCTTGGTTGCTTCGATGAGCTCCGTATTGAGGCGAGAGCTTTCATCTTCTAGTTTGTGTATCTCGCCATTCAATTCGTGGATCTCCTTGTCCCAGGAAGCAGAACGTCCGCGCTCCTTGGCTTGGTCTAGGCGAGATTGGATGTCTTCAACATTAGACTCAAGGGCAGCCTGGGCACCCTCATCCACGCCAATTTCATTCAGCTTTGTCTGATAACTCGCGGCCTCCTTATCGTTGGCAGCTATTTGGCGTTTGGCTGCATTCTTACTCTCTTGCAACGCGGACTTGCGCTCACCGATCTGATTCAAAGACGCCTGTGCTTCACGTAGTTCACTCTGTGCCTCTCTTTTAGCTCGGTCCAAAGTCTGAGATTGATCTTTGAGAATTTTCCGTATTCTTTTCATGAATTCATCCACGTCCGATTGGTCTACAATGCTGTCAAAGCCGCGGATATTGTGGTTTCGCGCAAGGTCCTTGGACATTCGTTGACGCCGTTCGACCTGACGTTCGAAGTTGGCTTTGTCATTTTCGTGCTTTCCATATTCAGCCTGTTTGAGACCCAGCTTGTGGCGAGTTTCTTCAATCTGTTCCCTAATCTCCATATACTTCTCCTTTTGGGACTCTTCTTGCTGCTGGTACTGAATTTGTTTCACCTCGAACTCCTCTAAGTTCGATTCTAGCCACTCATCTGGCTCGTCGAGTTCCACCAAGTGTCGTTTAAGGTTGTCAATGGTAGATTGGACGCTCCTTGCCTCGATCCGTTTGCCTTCCAGAGCACCCAGAACTTGAGCGTAACTTTCAGACTCTTTCCATGCTTTGTCTGCAAGCTCAGCGACCCGACGCATTTCCTTGGTGAGTTGCTGGGTCTCGTCTCGTAGCGCTTCGATTTCCTCCTGGAGTTTGATGGACCGCTTTTCCGCCTTATCAGCTTTTTCTTTGTCTTCCTTAGCATGCTGCTCCATGATTTTGTACTTCGCAAGCTCCTCATTTTGCTTTTTCCGCAGGACCTTGATGTTGTCAATAGCTTTCGTGTACTTGATTGCCTCAAATATCTCGTCGAACTTCTTTTTCAGAACGGAAGGCTCACTCATTGGCCACAAGCTCTCATCCTGATGACAGAAAATGACCGAATCAAGGATGGCTTTGGACACACCCAAATACTGGGGCATAATCTGATCCAGCTCTGCTACTCGGGAGGAAATTGCCGTCCTCTCCCCCTCCTTGATCATAAGAAGCTGACCTTCCAATGTCTTTTGCTGCCGGGTTGTTTTCTTAACCGTGAGCTGCAGGCTCCTAGTCGCAACCATCTTCGCGCCGGATGTGCCTTTGAACGACAGTTTTACCTGGGCCAAGACCTCTTTCTCTCCGCACAGCTTGTAATATTCCCTTAGCCTTAACTTTTCTGTACCAAGGTTCCATCAACATACCTTGGGGTCGTGGATAAACGCGCCACCCTTGCTGTTGGGCGGAAGATCACCGGTTGTGGCATATTTGAGACATTCGATAATGGTCTAGGGGTTTACATTAGCACAAATGCCCCTTTTATTGATCGCAAAATATTCGTACTGTTTTCCCAGACCCATTGTAACCGACGATTAAGGTGAGAGGTGTATGAAATTGAATCGTCTCGCTGCGAGTGTTGTCGAACGATCGAACACTAGAGCCCGTAAACTTGAATCAGCGTTGAACCAGGAAATATACGAGAGACCAAATCGTTCTTACCCAAGAATCGAGAGCTTGTCAATTTTCGCTATATAAGCGATCAGTATTGTATAAAACAGCCCAAGCTCTGCAACTTACACCTGTCCAAAGTCAGTTCCTGGATTTGTATAGCTTAGAAAAGGGATACCGGGCCTACATTTTGAGGACTTTTAGATTTCCACCTCCTAGACACCTGAGAAGATGACGAGAAAAGTGTTGTGCATCTTCCTGCTTTTCAGGTTGGATCAGCTCAGTCTTCTGCCTGCGCGTCTGCCTTTCAAAAAAGACGCGGGGAAAGGCGCGAAGTCACGTGGTCCTATCACCGGAATACTTATGCCTAAGGCACCAATGGCCGCATAGATGGCTGAGGCGTAAACAAGTGTAAACAAGCTGACGGGGTGCAGCATTGTTGCTTCTGCAATTTATTTATTAAGGTAACTTAAAACCTATGGATTCAAATTCTGCTGCTCCGCCGTCAATGCAGAGCCAAGGGTTAACCACCTTTCGAAGCTCTTTTCTATATAGTAACCGTCCGCCTATTTAGAGGTCCTTCATTACACCTAGTGATTTCCCTTTACTCTACATATCGTCTTGAAATTCCACACCTCTAACAAGCACCTCTATCAGAACTTCTAACCTGGCAACAAAAGCACATAACGCAGAAACAATAATAAACATGCTAATCCTCGACTGCCCAGAATAAGCGCAGAGTCGTGGAGTCACCGATGCCCACGACAACCATGCCATGGATAGACTCTCACCTTGAAGATTCAGTCACTTGGTCAGAAATTCAATGTTAGCAGAAACCAGGGCGAAAGGCCCCAGGGTCTTGAATGTGAGAAGGACCGCCTAGTTGAAGGGATCGAAGATTGGAAGTAGCTGGTAGACGGCGTCCAGCGAGAACGAGGAGACCAAGACGATGTTTTCGGTACTGAAAAAGGCAGAGTGCAGCAGGAATAGGAAGAACAGACAGACTGTTATATCTGAAAGGATGAGACTTCTGTAGTTCTCCTTTGCGGTAGCCTTTTCTCTATGCTTCGCCGCCTCACCGGCTGACATGAAGTTACTACGGGCACTGCCGTTACTAGAGCGTTGATGTATTCTGTGTTCGAGTTAAGCCCAGCTAAAGAGGGTGATATGTAGCAATGGTGAAGTAAAATAGTCATTTGGTAGGGTTTAATAATGGGGAAATAGTGTCGGAATACGTAGTAGATATGCACGATAATTGGAATCTAATACAACGCTCTACACGTGTGGAGACGGCCAACCGAAAATATGGACACCGTCCACAGCTGAACCAATTAAATACAAGGGGCGAATTGACGGGATCCACAGAGTCCAGCCATTATCAGACCGTTGCTCACCCCGCGAGAAAGCTGCAGTTGATAGCTCAATTCCACCAATTTGCCGCTAACAGTGTGCCTTGAAGCCTGTCTCAGGCCTTTCCCGATGTTTCTTGCTTCCACCTCTCCTCCCACTACTCACAGCCAGTTTTGTTATCGCAAAATAGGATGGACCTCACCCAAATTCCTCTAACGCAAGCTTCTATTCCGTATGGACTCGAGACAGAGTTAGCATCTAGACGATACGAAGGACATCTTGGCATACAGCAGATCCCATACTATTTCAACCCGGGGTTCAATCCACAGTCCTCAAGTTCCGGCCAGTCCTCTCTCCTTGGTCTACCTGATGAAGAACTGCCATGGCCACAGCGTGTACTTGATGAAGTCCGAGACCTAGTGCTTCTTCTTACGCCGGATGGAATAGTTAAATATGTCTCTCCATCATACAAAGCTATTACCGGCTTCGAGACAACACAAATAGAGCACGATCACCTCTCCCGACTCATTCACGATGACGACAAATCTGTCTTTACACGAGAATTGCGCGAATGTATAGCCACTGGTCGCCTTCTCCGATGTCATTTCCGTATGTATAAAGTCGATAATTCTACTTGTGTGATGGAAGCGCATGGCCACCCGCACTTTTCAACACGCAACGAAGATGGGAATCAGCAGCAAATCTGCGACGGTGTTTTTCTAGTCTGCCGCCTTTACCATACACAAAGCACCCGACTTCTAGATTCTTTCCTAGAGCACAAACTCGAAAACATCCGGTTAAAAGAACGCATTGCGCAGCTGAAAAGGGAAGAAGAGAACGGTTCCAATCCCGCTGCGCAGAAAACGAACGCCTCGCGAGTTTCTTATCAACACCACCCACCAATGAACAAGGTCTTTCCGAATCAACACAGTCAATCCAATCCTATCTCTTCTCTCGAACCACCCATGGTCCCCAGTGAAGACAATGAGTTATCCGATGCACTCGGTAACATGGATGAGATAGACACGAACCAAGCTAGAGCTGCTACTTTGAACGAGGAAGAGCCCTGGTCTCATCTCAATGATATCGAACTCCTTACAGGACTCTTCCTTACTGAGGGCGAGAGAGCCCAAGGTATCAGCACTGGTACCCCAGATGGCTATCTTTATCATTTCACTGGAACAACAACCCCATCAATAGAGCAAAACCAGAAACAGCAGCCTCCGCCGGAAAATGAACCGAGAAAGAGAATGAAGGGTGAATACCGATGCGCGGACTGTGGGACATCAGACTCGCCAGAGTGGAGGAAAGGCCCTGGTGGTCCTAAGACTTTATGTAACGCCTGCGGATGTAAGCACCTACTCTACCTGATTTTATGACATTTGTCTAACACTTTCGTTTTTGATCTAGTACGTTGGGCCAAAAGGGAGAAGAAGCGTCACGATTCTTGACTATGCCACATGCCCTAGATAACCTTTATATCTTATGGATTTCAAAATCCCCTGCTTGAAATCTACGCTGGGCAGAGCATACCAACCACGATAATGACGATTTTGCGGGTTTGGGCCGTCATTGGCCTCTTGTTCCTTTCGGATGCCGCCTCAGAAACCCTACCATTTTTATTTTCGTCTTGTACAATATTGCTTTGATAGGCTATTGTCAGATTCGATTCTCTGATATTCGACTGTCCCGTTGACTCCAATATATAATTATCGATCATATCTGCATTTGGAAGATTAAAGAGGAAACAGATGACTCCTAGTACCTGGTGATCTGCTGAAATGGTATAAACAGAGAGGACGAAAATATATGTCCAAGGGGGGGAAACGCCGCACGCTATTACTTCATGTTTGATGATATCGATAGATAAAACCCCATTACAGAATTTGTCCGACAGGGGAAGAGTTTCTTATTTCTTTCCCTTCTTTGGAGGCGGCGGGAAGTATATCTGAGACGGCTGCTGTTGGCCTGATCCTGCCCCGGTGGCCTCCACCTCCTGCTTAACTGCTTGAGGATCCGGTGAGAAGTGTTCGCGGAGTGGAAGATCATTGGTGGAACTGGAGTCGAGTCTGTTGAAGGCCAAGCTGCGCGGGGTTGCCACTGGCATCGGCGCACGCGGGTATGTGGCCGTCCCTGGAGTCATGGGCATTGCACTTGGTGTCATTGGAACTGCGCTGGGCGACATGGGGAACGCAGTAGGCGATTTCAAGATTATGTCCTCGTAGGCTTTCATGGTCTCTTTCTCTTCTCGTCTCTCATCGCGCTCGAGGCGTTCCTCCTCGGTTATGAAGCAGTTCTGGACGGCGATACCTAGTTCGACCGTGTACAAGACGCTGCGCATGATTGTGTCAGTGGCATCGAAACGAGGTGGCCGTTTTTTTCAAGATGGTTCTTGGAACTTACATGATGAGTATCGTGAATGCGAAAAGCGCCTTTCCTTGTTGGCAATATGAGACGTTACTTTTGTCGTAGGCAACATTGCAGTTCTTGGTGATATACCACGGAGCCCCGTTTTGGGGGTGTTCGGGGTCTGATTTATCGCTGCTAGCTTGCCACGCGGCCGATATGCAGTATATAGTAACCATGCCGGCCTGAACGATAGCGGTTCCGAAGGGTAATAGGAGCCCAAGGATATGAAGAGGGAATTTTGTGATCACGACGAAGACGCTCAAAATCGAAATGACGAGGTTCCAATTGGTGGTACTATCAAGTTGTTAGCGAATACACTTTACTTCACCATTGCCTGCCGACAATACAGCAGGATGTGAGGAAACCTACAAAGAGGACCAGACTTTCGGAGTGTCATATGGTCGATAATTGGCGGCAGCATAGACAGCTGTGTCGGGCGAGCTGTTGAAGCCATTGTCATAGCCATCTTGCCATAGCTTAGTCCGGTACCGATCATGCGCAGCAATTCCAGCAAATGTGAGAATGGGGATCACTATCACTAGCTCGACGGCCAGCAGGATGTACACCAAGTTGTGGTTGCGGTATTGCTTGGCGAAATACATGGTTGCTCGAAGTTCTGGCCTGCAAGACCAGCTCGCCGAGAAAATTGTCAGGCGTGTGCTGTGGGTTGGGAGAGAAGCGCCGAATTCAAAGGTGACTGAGGCCAGGCCTGCTGGCTGTGTGTTCAGTGCACTTGCATCGGAAACCTATCGGTCGTGTTTGAGAGGAATGACAAGATGATGAAACGAATACCAAGAGAAAAAGACGAGAAAATCAGCCTGGGGAAGCGCCGATAGTTATGGAGTGGAAAGAGGCCCTCAGGTCTCGAGTCGCCCATCGATCCCCGTCATCAGGAGAGGGGCAGCTTTGGCGCTTCAATGACAAGCAAGAATGCTGACAGGCGTGCCTTGAGATGTTTCCCAAGCATACATCTGACCAATGCTTGTTGCCCTGCAAGCGCCAGCATCAACGCAAAGTCATGGTTGTCGACCAATGAGGCGGCAGAAGCCAAATATCGGCGCTGGGCCGTCACACACTAAAGTAGCCCGTGTGATGGGCAAGGGCGATCTGCACTCACTGGACAACATCTTGAGGGAGAGGTCTGGCCTGGTCAGCGATTCAAATTGGCTTCACTCGAGGTCCAAATGCTTGCGTCTGGTGGCCTGAGGGATGGCCGGACAAAGACGAGAATAAGCAATTCCGTCAACCCTAAAGGAGACTTGTCCGGGGAAGACCCGTCCGAGGGCTCTTCCACACGCGCCAACCATAACTGGATTCATGGGATAAGATGTTGAAACAGACCCGGGCATGATAGGAATGGGAATGCTTGAACAGAGTGGAGACAGAGGGTAGTTGTGTCACTTGTTGTTCTCGTATAGCTTCATCCCAAATACAGAAAGTCATGTGCAATTAGGTAATCATACATGTAATCCATAAACGTCACCCGATCGGACTGAACTTCAACTTTGTCTGATACCTAGTTCAAGATTCAGGCCTCTTATTTCTGACAATTGAAAATATAGTTAGCTTGTGTTTGCGCCTGGATGCAGGTTTCGCAACTGTGTCGCCGGTCCCGACTCATCCACCGTTACCCCACTCCATCAGCCTGTGCTCCGACTATACTATACCGCCAGATGAGCTCCCCTACATCGAGGAAGGTTTCGATACCTCATACCGTGCGCACAGCCGCAGAGCCCCGGCAGAATAGATTGTTCCCTGTCCGACTATCGCATATCGAACAGGCCAATCCTACTGTCCGGCTCTTGCAGCTTAGTATACCTCCTAGTGTACAAGACCCCGGATCCCAGGATCAAGTAGAGGAACCTCAAGAAGCTATTGTATGTCAACCCAAGGGTTAATACGCACTATACAGCAAAAACGTGTTAACGCTTGCCGCAGACTGGGCAACCGGAGCCATTCACATTCTTTCCCGGGCAATGGCTAGACGTCCATATACCGTCTGTCTCTAATGCCGGGGGTTTCAGTATTACTTCCACGCCTGCAGATGCTCAAGTATTCCCTTTGCTGGAACCATCAGATGAACTTGCTCCGGCGGACGAAATTGTGGCTCCTCCTCTGGATCCGCGGGGCCGCGAGCCCTACGTAGAGTTAGCTGTGCAGAAAGCCCCGTCAAACCCTGCTAGTGCATGGCTCTGGCGACCCAAGGAAGAGATCTTGGGCAAGGAACTCAGTATCCGGGTTGGCGGCAGTTTCGTTTGGCCTCCATCTGGTGTGAAGCTCGAAGAGATTCGAAATGTTGTCTTTGTTGCCGGCGGGGTGGGCATAAAGTGAGTACTCGCGTGCAGCAGCCGGTATAGCATGGGCAATTTCCAGCTAACGATCTATCAGTCCCCTAATCTCAATGCTTTCCCATTTGAACAATAATGATGAAAGTGTTCATCACCACCACCCATACTTAAACATCAACGTTCTCTACTCTTCCAAGCTTTTGGACACGGGAGCGTCAGAGTCGGCCCTTGACCAGATCCTATTTCTCCCACGCCTGCGCGAAATTGTCCGCTCTCAATCACAGTTCCATCGCCTGCGTATCACCCTCAATCTTTTCCTTAGCAACCTGCAAGATCAGTCCTCTCCACTCTTGGTTCAGCCTCCGAAAGACCTAACAACTCATGCCCGCCGTATCAACCAGGATGATCTTCGTAAAACGGTATCAGGAACAAACACCAAATTTTCCCCAAACGAAACAGTATGCTACGTCTGTGGACCGCCTCAAATGACAGACGAAGTCGTCAGCACCGTTACCAACCTCCTCGATGGGCAAAAGGATCGAGTCTTCTTCGAGAAATGGTGGTGATTCTAGGGGCCCCTCCCACCTAAAGCCACGAGCCCCAATCCGTTCCCTTTCAAACTACGTCACTGCCGTGACGGAGTAGCCTAACCACTACGCGGTAAAAATATGCTCAACACCTCAAACCCAAATGCGAAGCCCCCTTCACACAACGCGTCCACATTGGTCAAGGCTTCCAAAGTGGATTTTGGCGATTCTTCGACATCCGGGGTGCTCTATGATGTCCCATTGGCCGGGGCTTCAACACCAAACCGAGCCTTCCAAATCAGGACTATATCACGCAACCCAGTACCACCGCCGCCACGAGGCCATATGCAACCGGGTGATAAACCTCTCTGTCCATGAGTCTGAACCAACTTAAAACGCATCGCACCACTATTGATTACTGTTAGAATTGTGGGTTTTGGTGGGACTTTGACGATTTCTTGTAGACCTCCAATGCGCAATCATGTGTTCATACCTTAAATGCTTGATAAGAGCGCTCTTCTGGAATATTCATGAGTTATGTGGCAATTCAGGTTTCTAACTTACTGTACTAGTAGCACAACCTCTATGAATACTGTCTTGGGGTCTCTAAAGCTGTTTCCCTAGATTTACCCTAGATATACTTGCCAACAAGCGTCATCGGAATACTTCCTACTCAAATTGGGTATTTTATATATAACAGCATAACACCAGTATGAACTTTTATGTAATTAGAAAGGCTTTGCCTTTTGTATATAAGATAAAACGCCAAGTTCAATCTGGGCCCTTCACTGCGCCCCCATCGATGATCATCATCTCATCGATTCTGGAATCGACGTCGCCATATTCCAGCCGTTTGTACGTCACAGCTCGGCCAGCGTTCATATCAAAATCGTAGAATCGCACGCGGCGGACAAAGCCGCCATAGCCTCCGTAACCACCAAAGCCACTACCTCCTCCGTAGCACATCCAAAGTGACGGCTTGTCCGCCGAATTTTTGCTGAGAGCGCAGTAATCGTTGGCGTGGTCACTGTAGAGGATTAGCTACGAGAAACGCATCACGACGGTAGTGAGTACTTACTGTCCACACCCGACAAACAGGATGCCTTCTTCTTCGAGTGCATCCTTGAATCCTGAGTTGAAACCTGGCGCGGTGGAAGGTTCCGACCAATTTCCTCGGAAATAGTTTCCGCTCTGCGCAAACTCAGGCAGCGGAATGTGAATGAATGCCATGTTCATATGCATATAGGCATATTTGTGATGTTTGTTTTTCAGCCCTTGCGCTGTGCTTTTGAACCAGCGAATCTGGCTCGGTTTGATCCAATCATATCCTCGGAACTGACGTTCATCAGGAGAATACGAGTGGGAGTCGAGAAGGTAAAGTGTAAGGGCCGAGTGGTCGGTATTCCCACGGCCCAGTACTTCCAAGATGTAGTTTCCAACACCATCTACGTCTTCCGGACCGGCCGATGATAGTGAGTATGGCAGCTCTTCCAGCAAAGCCATGGATTGTTGGCGATCTAGATTACCTTCATCATCATGGTTCCCGAAAATAGCCGCATAGGGAATTTTGCGGTCAACTAGCAGCTTGACAGACTTGTAAAGCGGACTCTGGGCATCCTTCGATGTCTCACCGTTCACTTGGTCTCCGCTCAGAATGACCAAGTCCGGTTGCTCCTCATCCAGAAGTTTCTCCACAAAGTCCAACGTTCGTGGGTCTGCCTCACATCCTTGACCGGGGACAAGCTCTTCGGGCACAGGGTCTCGGCAGTGGCCAAGCCCAGTACTCAAGTGTAAATCCGCCAGCTGCATAATCTTAAAACGGCCATTTTCGTTGATCCTCGGCACCGGCTTTTTAACTTTCGACGGGTCTCCCCTGCGGACCGTAATCCGAGCTTCCAGGTCCTCCGTCCGACTATCCAGCAACACTGCAGTATCCCTAACCTCCCAACCTGCTCGAGGATCCACCGCATCGGCACCAAAAAGGACATCGACGGAGGTTATTGCATTGTGAGAATCGCTCGCATGTCGTTTTGCCGTTCTCTTCAACCATAACCCACCGGGGCGCTGTTCCCAGGCGACTCTATCTTCTTTCGGATCGTTGTTGAACTGTGGCTCTAGTCGGCCGATTTTCAGGTCAATGACGACCTTATCCGAGGGAAGCAGATCCTGTTCCTTTTTTCGTTGGAACTGAACGTATGCAGCAGAAGTCCACCCCGATCGTAAATATAAGTCCTTTTCTATTTGTGTCCATTCTGGCGACGATGGCTTGCAGCCGGACAAGATGCTGAGGACCGAGCAGGTCACCACGGAGACATCGGTGACGACAAACCCGGAATAGTGAGAGGGAAGATGGCCGTGGATGGAAGCCGGGAGGACGCGAAATCTGTTATCTAATGTGACAATAAAAAGCAAAATGACGCTGGCAACAATTGCGAGCTGGATGCCCGCGCGAACCTGTAGAGAAAAGCCGAGTCAGTATACGTATTTGTCTCGAGCTCCGCTCCGCAAACCGGGGAAAGCGGCTCAAGTGCAGGGTTTCGTACAAATCGGCGTGTCATGATCGGCGATAGCACCCCTGACAAGTTCTAAGCGTGTGCAGAACAGCCGGGTGCTGAAGCATGATGGGACTGAAGCCTTGAGAACACACAGCACGTTCAGGGACTCGCGCAAAAGGCTCAGTCCTGGAGTAGGCCATCTCAAGGGGTTCGTTCGTCCAGCCCAGCCGTCTCTAGGCCTAAGCGCTGGCTTAAACGGAAGGCGGTCACATGCTTCTGGGACTTTGCCGAAATACGAATACGACGAACAGCAACCATCAACTGCTACACCATAGAAAGCGCGAAGATGTTTCTAGAGAGGTATTTTGGTATTCTCTATGTCCCGATCTATTGTATCTCTAGAGGTATATTACGCCCAAACGAATAGTTGGGTCTACTCTTTTTGCTCCTTCTTGACAGAGACCTTGCCACTTAAGATATCCTTCGTCGTGGCCAGGATCGAGGACCAATTCTCAAAGACAGTGTATGGCATCCCTTCTCGCTCGCAGAAGGTGATCAAATCTGGACAAAGTCAGCTACTGTAAAACTTCAAGAATATCTCGGCGTGAACCTACCCTTTCCGGCCTTGGCGAACAGGAGGTCTGTCTCCGCTGCAGCGGACAAGTCCGAGACACCATCACCAGCATACAGTAGAGTGGGGCGCTCGTGAAAAGGCACTGCAGCGTACGGTTTGATTTCCAATGATTTGTTGTGGCCGAAATGGCTAAATCCAGAGGTCAACTTTGTCCAACGGGAACTTAAGGCTTACCACTCGTACCTATCATCGTGGTATCTGATCTGCCACCCACCAGGGGTGTTTATGTCCTTTCCATCTCGGCTTTCAACATCATTGGCGACAATTGTCAGATGGTCGTCGAGATTGTGACCAAGGAGAGTCTCCAGTAAAGTCTGAATAACGGGAACCATGCCAGAGGACAAAATCACAATCGGTACGTTGTTCTCCTTAGCCCAGTAGTAGAACTCCGTGAAATGGGGGTCTAGGCGCATGTTCTTCTGGAGAATCTGTAGACATTCATTGAAAGGGGTCTTAACGCTGTCGAGCATGTCCCGAAAAGCGTCACTAACAAGGCAGAGCATCAGTGTCTTGTGTCCAGAATCCATCATGACAGTGTGATTTACCGGAAGCTAGCCTTGTTTTCGAGGACCGCAACATTTCCTGCGCGGCGCTTGGCCTGGCCATAGCCTAGGTTGTCAACCATGTGGTCATTGCCTGCAATTGTTGTTGATTAGCGATCGGTACAAAGCTGATCCCATAAGTTTTTTTGGACTTACTATCCTCGAGCGTGATAGTCCCATCGAAATCCGAAAAGAAAATGACCTTGGGGTTGGTCTTCAGGTAGGGAAGATCCGTAATAGAGCCCATGGTGGAGGGGTGGCGGGGTAGTTGTTGATAAGCTGGAGAGAGATCTGGTCAGCAATTGAATCTGGGGCGATTGAAGCGGTGACTAGACAAGGGGAATGGTAGCATTTGTGGCATACTTCGTGGGGGTGGGTTGCAGAGGAGGAGGAAGAGTGTCAAGTGTTTTGGGACCGAACGATGTCGCCAGGAACCGCAAGATTTATAAATCGGCCAAGCAAGGCAGGGCTGGAATGCTCCGATTTCACCATTGTCATGGGGTTTCAGTCTGGGTCCCTGCGGATCGGCTCCATTGCGAGGCGCATTAAAACGGTGCTTAAACGGATGTGGACTTCGGTGGAGCTCTGCCTGTCGCCCGATCCCATGATTTTTCTTCCTGCCGCCTCTTCTCCACGAACCAACAACGAAGAGCATGGCGCGTGTGCTGAGATCCCTGCGCCAATTGCTGGGTTTGTTTCCGTCGTCTTCGCCTTCACCGTCAACTCTGGGCTCGCGCCACCGCTTCGCCCGTTCAATTGATACCGATTTCTCCTATTTGCGAGGTACCGCCTCTCGGCCACGCTATGCGCACGAACACAAGCTAAGATAGACACACCGTTACAGAGGGGGACCAGGTCGTTGTCTACAACCACAAAAAAAGACAGCCGGCTTTAGCTGGCCCGCTTCAGAAAGGCCAAAAGGCGCAGACATCCAAAGGAGCTCTGGCCCATGACCAGATCATTGGCCGCAAAGTTCGAGAGACAGTTCAGTCAAGCAAAGGTTTGAACCCTTTAACATCCGCACTCGTCTAAGTAATTAACTAAAGGCTCCGGTCTCTACGACAGGTGTAAATTATCGAGTTACCCTTCCTACCCTCGATCAATATGTTGCATTGACGCCGCGCCATGTAACGCCGGTATTACCACCTCTTCCCATAACCACCGGCGAGCCCAAAATCCGTTGACACTCACCGTAGATCTACGCTAAAGATGCAAATGTCATCCTTTCATACCTTGATATAGATGTTGTGCCTCCAAGTGAAGGTGATAACAGCCATCCGCCGCTAGAGATCCTCGAATCCGGGACAGGCCATGGCGCTTTGACACTACATCTATCGCGTGCAATCCAAGCCGCTAACTCCCTCCCACCGCCAATCCCAAAAGCGTCCCAGGTGAAATATCTAGAAGAACGCTCGACACGGCCGAGTGATGACACAAAGGATACCTCGAAAAGCTCCGAAGATGGAACCGGGGTTGGAGAGAAAGAAGTAGATCTGGCGCAACAACAATGGGACGCGTGGCGCGCCCAGCGCAAAGCAATCATCCACACAGTTGAAGTATCACCGACCTTCTCGAAGCACGCAGAAAAAATTGTCCGTGGGTTTCGTCGCGGTATCTACGCGGGAAATGTCGACTTCTACGTCGGACGTGTGGAAAACTGGATCTCAGCTCGAAAGCAACAACTTGAAGCACCCAGCTCCGCCATCAGCTCCCTCCTCAAACCCAAATCATTGGAACCCTTCCTCACCCACGCAATTCTTGACATGCCGTCCGCCCATCTACGTATCCCCGTCGTCGCTCCCCTCCTCAAACCAAACGGCGTTCTAGCGGTCTTCATGCCCAGCGTCACCCAAATCGCGGATTGTGTCGATATTATTCGGAAACAAAGAGCCCCCCTTGACCTTGAACACGTTATCGAGCTGGGTACAGGAATCAGTGGCGGGAGATCGTGGGATGTTAAGTTTGTATCGAAAAAGTCGAAGGCCGATCCAGGATGGGATAACCCAACTTCGGCCGAACCAGAGTCTGAGAACGCTATCGAAGAGTCATCTGCGAAGAACGAAAAGGTACCCGAGAAAGCACAGCCACAAGAAGGTGCCAAAGACTCGGAAGGCGTCCTTGTGTGCCGGCCAAAGGCTGGGACTATGCTGGCTGGTGGAGGCTTTGTGGGCATTTGGAGAAAAATACAGGGCGTTCCTGGAGAGAGCACCATGTAGACTTGCTTTCTTCTTTGACCCATTGTACTAAATATTGTATATTACTAACTCATAGACAACATGTATATCTACCTATTGAACCTTTGAAAGAGCGAGCATTGCACAATATGGATATGTATATGGATATGTATCTAGTATAATCTATGATACTGTCCAAAACGGAATAATGCTATTCGACCATAAAAATACTAGTAAGCATAAGCGGCCTTTATATATTGCTTTATATGCTAATAGACACCTCTAATAAGTAGTGGCCTATTAGTTTCCACTGTACACTACGATTGACAAAATAGCACAAAGTGACCGTTGAGAAAGATCATCAAGTTGTAATCAAATCCTAACACATACCTAGGTACCAAGAGCAAGAAAGAAAGCGAAAGATAACTTGACCACGCCGTTGACTACTCACTTTCCAAGAAGATGATACGCGGGTTTAACTGCAAATACCCTCTGGCATGACATAAGCAAGAAAGGGAGAAAAAAGGAGACAGGGGGAAAAATGAAAAGATAGGAAGACAGACAGGAAGAGGAGAGAAGACAGAAACAGGAAGCAAGCAGGATAAACTGAGAGTGAACACCGCGGACAACACGCAAAAGCCCCCCAAAGACAAGATGAAAATTCCGAGATAACAAGAACAGGACAAACCGGGCTACACAAACACCAGTCTTCGTAAGAATCGACATGCTCCCATGGCCGTGGCCGCTCAGTTCCGTTGCGGACCAAAGTCCGCCTCCACAACCTTGCCCTTTTTACCTTTAACTGAAAACTCCGCGAACAATGCGATATGATCACTTGGAAAATGATAGTTAGGGAACCCGGGCACCTTCCGTAGGTAGTCCTTGTCCACCTCCCCGAGTAACGCCGAAACGTGCACAGAATTCGATGTATACCAGATATAGTCCAGTATATCCTTGAAATCTGGAGTGTAATTTGTAAAGCTCAACTCGCCGATGGAGCTGTATGCCGACTTGAGCTTAAAGGGATGCGTCATTCCTACTCGGCTCAGGTTTCCGTACATCCGTTTCTCCAGATCCGGATGTTCCTCAGCAAGTCCTCCGCTGGCGATGAGATTGTATGCGGCCGAGCCAGGTGATGAGTTGAAATCTCCACACATAAAGAGCGGAATTTGATCACCGCTAGCGTACTCCGCGGAAGGAGCAGGCTCGGGCATGGACTGCTCCGCACCAGCCTCCGAGAAGCGGAAAGCGGCCTTATCCGTGCAAGGAGCCCATTTGGCGTATCTTTCTGAGTGCCTCGTAATCTCCTCCATAAGGATAGCTGTTTGAATCAACTTGACATCCTTGAAAGTAGGGTCCCAGTAGAGGTGCGCGTTGACGATGATGAACCGAGATCCAGTTTGTCGGTTTTCCAAGAAGACAATAACGGCGATGTGGTCTTTCTGCCATAACCGGTTGTAGATGTCATCTTGACCCTTGGCATCCGGTCTTCGCACTGCTGTCTGACCAAAGTTGATGACCTGCTTGTCAAGAATAATGAACTTGCTTCCCTTGAAGAAGATGGCACATCCATCAACGCCCTTGGCATCATCCTCCTGCATTCCCATGGCCCTTCCTCGGGGCCAGTACACGCCCTTGTAATCACTATAAGCCAATTGCTCCCTGAAAAACTCGTTGTAGCTCCCTTGGTCGATTTCTTGAAGGCAAATAATATCTGAATCATGAGCCCTAAGCTCATTCAATATTGTTTGCCTTCTATACTCCCAAGAAAGAACGCGGGAAGGTGCATAGCCGTAGTGTGATTGGGTTGCAGACGAATCGCAAAGTATGTTGTATGAAAGAACGGTTATCTTGTCGGGGGAAGTAGATGCGGTTTCATCTAGAATGAGCCAATCTCGGCCCGGTGGTTCAACGTGGGTATCTAATACAGTTAGCAAAAGAGCTCAATGTGGTTGGTGTATAAGAATGATACGAACCTGGCATCTCTTCCTTCAGATATTTGATCAAAGCCTTAGTTCCTTCCTTCAAGATTTGGGCTTTCAAAATATCTTCTAACGGATTACCCTCTATTCCCAGGATTTCCAATCGGTAGAGATAACCCATCTCGTAAGGAAGGGTGCGAATATTGTTGTCGAAAAGAAGGAATTGTTTTAGGTTCGTGAGCATGCCGATTTCCTCAGGAAGCACAGTGAGGTCATTGCCCGATAAATCCAAGTTGGTAAGTTTCCGTAGTTGTCCAATTTCCCGAGGCACCACCTTCAATTTGTTGTGATTCAGATACAATTTTTCCAAGAAAACATAGTTGAACAGCGACGGTGTCAGGGCCCGCAGTCCTTGACCGCCGAAATCGAGCGCATGCCAGCCTTGTCGTGAAGCAGACTTCGTCTTTGCAACGCCGTTCTTCCAGTTGACACCATTTTCTTGAGGCTCCGGTTGACTGGGTGCGATTTGAATACCCTTGGTCTGCTGTGCTACGGCCCGAGCATAGTAGTGGGGTGAACTGGCCTGCCGGGACTCAGCAGCCAGCTGGAGCTGCTGTTGCCAATGTTCATTCATAGACTCGTCAATATCTTCGTCGAGATTGGTGTGTGTTCCATTCTGGAGGTGGCTAGGGGTGAAATGAGGGGTAGCCGACGTCAAAGCCCCACTTGAGAAGTTGTGCTGGTGGGCGACATGCTGAGGCGGCTGGTTATGATGGGCGTGGTGGTGTGGTTGCTGCGCGGGGTGTGGGTGGTGAGACTGCGCCTGAAACTTCGGGATCTGCATACCAAACCGCTGGTGGGCCTGGCTACCATTCATAATGACATGTTGCTGTTGGTGGGTTTGACTATACATGGTGAAAGGATTGAGGCCAGCTGCCTGACCAATCGGCGGCGATCGCGACGGAGAAGGGGTCTCGTGGTTGAATTTCAGTCGTCCAGTAGGGGAGCCTGCGCCGTTGCGGATAAGGTGACGTTGGTGCTGCTGCGTTTGAAAGAAGTATTGCCCGGCCCCAGGCTGCTGGAACCTGTAGGTACCATCTGCCATTTAACGTGGCAGACGAGACCTTGTGTTATTTGTTTGAAGGCGGGTTTCGAAGTCAACCCAAATTCGGAGTACCGGAGAGGTGGCCGCGGTAGGAGGAGAGAGAGGAGTCGGGGATCGAATACGGACTCTCCTTCTCTTTAACATGGGGTTCTGGAATGGAACCACCCCAGAAAAGTGACTGCTAGACAGACAACCAAGGCAATGCCAACACTAGGAAATTGCTTTGTCCGCACAAGTGTCGAGCCTGACTCTAAATCAGAAGGAAGGATTTAAGGATCGATCGATAGAGCCGGGGTTGGATGAACGAGTCACGGAAGAGTCGTCGGGATTCACGCAGAGGCCTAGATTGGATGTTAGACAGGCTCCCCAAATAATTGACAGTCAGCGAATAAGGCAGGGCGCACACAATAAGCAGTTAGATGATAAAGCAATGACAGTAGCGACCGGTCAAGATGAACTTCTTTGACGCTCGAGTGTGATCAAAGGCGGGAGGTTGCACGTCACGTGGTATCTGTCTGGCTGCTGTGATTCGCCACCGGATCTAACGTGAACCAGAGGCTGAAGACCCTGCTTTCATCATCCAAAGCTTGGTAAGGCCAGATATATGGCACTCAGTCGCCGTGTCCGCCTTCAGAGTGCCTTCAGAGTTCAGACAGCGGATACCCCTTGGTCCCTTGAGTCGTTATCGACACACGGCCCCTTCTCCCTTGATTGCGAGGCAATAGAATCCTTTTTAGTGACTGGGTCCTTTTGCGGACAATGATCGCAGCAGGCCCGAGAACCATCCGTGGACACCCCCTTTTGAGTCTTCATTCTTATTACCTCTATAACAACTGCGGGTACTATTCATGAATTATCAACGCATTGGATTGTGGGATTTTCTCAGTTAGACGTCAAACAACCCGTCGTGGCTTAGAAATGGAACTGCTACTACTATAACTACTCGACTCGCCACTTCGCCTCTGAAACACCATTGACTTGGATGGCAGCCGTATGAGCTTCTATTTGGGCAACCAAACACTGAAGTCTTGTCTGAATTGTCACAACTCTCCACTAAATTACTGGAAATCGGCATGCTCTGGGGCTTAAGAGCCAGGAAAGAAACAAGACGTCGGGGGCGGAGTTAGATAGCAGTAGATTCTATAGCACCATCTTTTAAAGCTACGCCTGTATAGTAGGGAGGAAGCAGAAAGAATACTCTGCGACGATGGAAACGAACGGCTTTGGGCTTCAGAAATCCTTGGTGTTTCTCTAAAAATCTATCATTTGCGCATACACGCGGATGAAAACGTTTCATATTAATCCATGTCATCGCGAATATCCGCGCCCCCAAGCTCGTCCTCGTCGACTAACGGTACAAAGCGGAAATCCACGAAGCTGACGGTTGATGCGGGAGTTTCTTTTGCGGAGCGCGCATTGTTGCTTGTAGCAGCGCCCGCCTTGTCGAACTCAATCATGAACTGCAAACTCAACACACCCTGTCGATCGCCGCGTATGCTCACTTTGTTAGCCACCGCCATGGCGCGGGATGCCTTCTGGATGAAGCCAAACCGAAAATCCTGTTTCAAGCGAGGTCCCATTGAGGAAGGCGGGCTAACAAGAAAGGTTTCTGTAACTGTGGGGGCAAGTTTGGCTCTTGTAGCCCGTGATCGAGTTGTTCCGTCGTTTGTGAGTACTTTGCGGTGCGTGTCTGACTGTGTTCCGTTGTTTTGGCCGTCTTGCTCAATCGAGAATTCCACCGACGACTCGCTGAATGGGCCACCAGCACCAGAGAGGGTAAAGAATGGTTCTTCTTTTGCGGACGCCGAAATTTTCAAGATTTTCGGATTCGTTGCACCGAGCTCCGTAATTGCGTTGTGTAACCAGGCGGAGCGCATAATTATTTTCATGACAATGCCGTCGCGCTGAAACGGGATGTCTTGTACACCCTCGTCGGGTTCATATGTTGTCAACTCGCAAACAGTTTTAACGCCAGTCTCAGCCAAGGTGATGCTGAAAGGAGACCCGTGATGCGAGTACTGAAACGTACAAGAACGATTGAGAAGTAAAGCGGGAGCCGTAAATGCGCTCGATGCAGAAACAGTTGAAGGCTGGACACTGGCTGCCCTACTGGCGCTAGTGGACGAGGGTTCGCCCGCTCCAAATATTTTCAATGTTTCCAGCAGGGCTGATAATGATATAACAAAACAGGGATAATTTGAGCTGTCTGATTCAAGATCCTCCATTGTAACGTCATGTTCGTTACTGGGTGTGGCAGTCGGATTGAAGGTATAGGTGGTGAAAAGAGCTTTGTCGAGGAACGCGAGTCCTTGTACCACTCGCGCTTCCTCCACGGAAAAGCGTATTCCGTCCGGCGTTATTTGTACGGTGGCATTCTGCGCAAAGCTAATGCAATGGAGTAAAGTGTAGAGTTGGTGTGCGTTGCTAGAAACAGCAGTGAAGATAGGTCCCGTCTCTTCTGCCATCATTTCGGGAGAGAGTATAGAATAGTATGGAGTAAACACCGGGTATTTATTGAGAAGGCGCGGACGAGAAATCTCCGACGTTTCTAGTGATACAATTCTGCTTTTCTCTCAAATCTCCAGAGATCCATACACCGAAGTATGTGAGCGGAAGATGTCACTTAAACGTAAACACCAACGGCACAAATCATAAACACGGCTCCGAAGCTGGGGCGCGACATATTAGCGATTGCTAATCCGATGAGTAGGGAACAAATTATACCCAAAAGCTAGAGATGCTGGACCACCAAGCGAGATAATAGTAGGGAAAGATCGGTCTATTGGAGCATTAGAAACCTGCAATGTTTTTCTGGCGCTCCATCATAATCAGGGGTACTAACTCAGCCCGAAAAGTCCTGTAAGAACAAAAGCTGACCATATATTAGCAATTGATTGATCAGTCAAGTGGTTTCTCAAGCTCACCGAGCAGTAGAAGGGTAAAGCCAACAGTAAATTGGCTCTCTTTCGCAATAAGAGGAGTATAAGGGCTTGCAGAAGCTGCCTCCCAGACCTGGTTTAGAGACATTGGGTATTATAACGGTGACACGACTCAGAAAAGTACAAGCGAAAAATCGAAGCTGAAGAGAAAAACCAGCTAGAACATTGAACAAGTCAGTTCGAAGATGCCAGCCATCGCAACAAATCCCCTCGAATCGAAGCACTTGAAGCTCCACGGAAAGTCGATCTGGCCCGACCGGTTCGGATCATTGTGGCCCCGACTCCCCGCCTCCAATCAGTCATCGACTCATCATTGGCCGACGTCAGATCATACTTCGCCGCACCTGAATTGGAGTTGAAAGTTGGAACAAACACCAGTTTGATATTATATTAACAGCCTATAATGACTGACAGTGAGTTAAAACCTCTCGGAGAACTTTAATACATCGCGAAATCTTTATATAGTGACAGATTCCAGGCCCAATCACAAAGCGGAAAACCTCCTCGGAGGCTCTTTCCCCAGATTCCCAACAGCATAGTAAGAGGGCGCGCACAGATTCCCCAGGAAGGGAATTGAAGGTATGTTTCTTGCTCTGTTTAGATATATTCTTGCCTGGTAATTCTGGAATTGACGCGTCCACTTTTGGACAGACCGAAGACGATCCCCTGGAGAAGCCGCCAATGCGAATTGTCCCTTTCCCCGAAAAGGTGAGCCGCGCGGACAGTGTTGAAGATGCGGTCAATTCTAACTCCATCTACAGCCAGCAGTTCTAGAGGAGCGCCGAGGCGAAATTGAGTTCCGGGTGGTAAACAATGACGGATCGCGCGATAGCTTCATTGTCCTTACCGGGTTGAAATGCATTTTTCAGAAGCAGCTTCCGAAAATGCCAAAGGATTATATTGCGCGGCTGGTTTACGATAGATCGCACCTCTCAATCGCCATCGTCAAACATCCACTGGAAGTTGTAGGGTCCGTATGTCCCGTGGATTCTTATGGTTGACCTATTTCCACTAACCTTGATACAGCGGTATAACCTACCGGCCGTTCAACAATCGCAGATTTGCGGAGATAGTATTCTGTGCCATTTCATCTGATCAGCAAGTTAAAGGATATGGGACTCATCTGATGTCACATTTGAAGGTATTCAACTGAGAACGTGACCACACCACTTTCGTTACATATGGATGCTAACTTCGTCGGCACGTACAGGACTACGTCAAGGCAACGTCGGACATCATGCACTTCCTAACCTACGCCGATAACTACGCGATTGGATACTTCAGAAAACAGGGATTTACCAAGGAGATCCAACTGGACAGGTCTATATGGATGGGATATATTAAAGATTATGAAGGTGGAACGATCATGCAATGCACGATGCTGCCGAGGATTCGGTATCTTGAAATCGGGCGCATGTTGCTTAAGCAGAAAGAGGCGGTCCACGCAAAGATACGTGCGTTCAGCCGGTCACATATCGTTCATCCGCCGCCCAAGGAATGGAAGAATGGAGTGAATAAGATTGATCCGATGAGCATTCCTGCCATTAAAGAGTCAGGGTGGTCGCCTGACATGGATGAGCTCGCCAGGCAACCGCGCCATGGACCGAATTATAACCAACTCCTACACCTTCTCAACGATATGCAGAACCATAGCGCAGCGTGGCCGTTCACCCAGCCGGTCAATAAGGATGAGGTACTCGACTACTACGATGTCATCAAGGAACCGATGGATTTGTCTACGATGGAAGAAAAGCATGAGAAGGACATGTACCCGACGCCACAGGATTTCATCAAAGATGCCGTGTTGATGTTTGACAATTGCCGACGGTACAATAACGAAACTACTCCTTACGCCAAAAGCGCGAATAGACTGGAGAAGTTCATGTGGCAGCAGATTTCCAACATCCCTGAGTGGTCGGTAAGTACAATCCAGCCATTCCAAACCTGATTATGTGATCCTTATGATGGCTCACTCTTGTCTAGCACTTGTCCGAAGGCCACTGATGGAAGTTCTCAATAATCTGATGGAGTTTTGGATGGCGATTTTGCTAGGTTGGTAGGGTTTGATTTGATTATTGGATTCATGGTGAATACCCGAATTAGCATGTGGCTCTTTATTTGCGTATATAATTTTTTTACCCCAAACATCATCAGGGGACGAAATCAATTGGATTATTCTGACAGACTGAAAGTATGGTTCGTGACGTATCCTGGATGGGGAAGCTTCTGGGTCGTGTCGATCTGCTAAAACAATCCAGGGGCAGACTGGCGGCTGGTGACGATGTGGTTCCAGGGCATCCAGCCTTCGGGTTCTGAGCAAGATCGTCTATTTCTATTCACCGTCGGCTTCGGAACGCCACTTCAACTGTTCCATAGTGTTTCAGCGGGCAATTGGTTTCTGGTTGTTCCATTTTTCCCTGTTTCTCGTTGGCTGGTGGTGGAGCCATTCATTTCGGATTAATATTGAGGCGGGCCGTTTTATTGTTGAAGAAGCGCTCTCGAAGGCCTCAAGGAGTCGGCAAACGCTGCAGACTAAAGACTTCATTATTGCCGACTGGCTTGGCTCGTCTTCTTCCTGTTGCTTTCTTTTCCCTTCATGCACTGCCGGATGGGTCGTGTTTGCTGCTCCTGAGTTTGCTGCAGTCTGGTGGCTGTTGTTTTCCCGCCTTCGACTTTCTCAGGGGAACTCGCTCTCCAGTGCCTCTCGCTTTCGCGACCTTGATGTTCAAATTCTGCGCCTAATTCGCTTCATCACTCGTCACTCGTTACAGTTGAAGGTAGTTGAGCGCTGTTGTCTTGGATTAAGCCTTCAATAGACATCCGACGCACAGCTTGTATACTTTGTTTACTTGTTTCTGAACCGACTCGAACCACACTCGTTTCCCCTATTCGACCCCTCTTTGTTTCAACTCTGAACCCGAACAACGCGATTTCACGGCCAACCTTTGCGCAACACTTGATCTGACAGTTGAATTCAAAATGACGACGCCTGGTATGATCGAGCTGGAGCAGCGAAATCGCCTCCCCACGCTCTTCGAGGTCCTCAGCCGTCGGACTCTCGCCCCAGTCGACCTCTTTTCCTTCTACATTTACATGCGCGACCAACAACGCTCTGTTGATTATCTTGACTTCTGGTACGGCGCAGTTCCACATTATACATATATTCTTGGACAATCCGATATTAATCTCGAATCAAACTAGGCTCGATGTATCCCAACATATGTCCCTGTGCCGCCATTATGTTAGAGAACTGCGACGATCCGTCCTGGTAGCAACACCCGATCTTGAAAAGGCCGAGAGTAAGGGGTCTTCGACACCTCTGGAGAACTTTGAGAGTGTGAATGATATCCCGCTCGTGGAAGCTGGACCTTCGGGGCTTCACCATGGTCTCCGCGATCTGGACGATAGGGACGCTGATCAAAGACTGTCGGCCTTCCTTCGCTCAGATGGGCAGTCATCGAGACACTCTCCACAGAGCAGCTTGGGCTCGCATAATGCTGCATCCCGCACGATGTCAAATAACGAGCAGCCGCGGCCGAGCTTTACCCACAAGGAGTCAAGCTCACCAGGTCATACCGTGGCACGTGGGGATATCCGTTCTAGCGCAGAGAAGATACTTTACACATATCTACTTCCAGGTGCTGAAAGAGAAATCGTCTTGCCCGAGGAAATGGTGTCCGGTATCATCAATCTAGTGGAGGACGATGGCAGAGATGACCCGGAAGTATTTGATCCGGCGAAAGACTATGTTTTCCAAGCAATGGAGCGTGATGCCTTCCCAGGGTTTTTGCAGGCGAAAGCTCTGGGTAACCTTGTTCCGCTGTCTATCATGGCACGTCTTACGTTCGCCCTCATCAGTTTCGGTGGAGGTTTCTGGGGTGCATTTTATGTGGTGCTACGTGATAAACCAAGGCACATCCGTTGCTGGGTAGGTTGATGTTCTCCCAGAAGATTTGTTTTTTTTTTTTTTTTTTTAACTAATTCGGTGTATAGGTTATTCTACCTTTCATCATTGCAGCCTACTTCATCGTCTCCTACCAGTACAAGATCGACCCTGTTATGGCGTTCGTAGGGTACAGCGAGTATACGTTCATGAACTGGTCCCCGGTCCGCGAGCCATATGTTCGAAAACTGCTAGTGAAACGAGCTGTCGCCACTGTTTTAATCGCGGCTCTTGTCGCCGCTGCGCTGAGTATATTGTTCATCCTGGTTCCGGGTACGATGCTTTAGCTGTGTCCATTTACGGGTAATACGATATAGTTCTTCATCTCTTATCCATGCGAGATTCAGTTCAGCAACCACCGTTGGAGCTGCCTGCCACAGCTTCCAAAGCTTCACAGAGCGCCTCTTTGATAGCATTCATTGTCCATACCTGTCCAGCCAACGCTGTCTCATTTGTTTTTGCATGCGAGCTTTTTTTTTAATTTTTCTTCTATAATACCCCTTCGCTGCTGGACTTGTACGTTAGATGACTTTTACCGAAGCCTTGGTGTTGTGGATATATCCGTTGGTATTTAGTTGGCTTAGTATTTAAGTGTAATACTAATTGCACAAAAATTCCTTTTGCAATTTCCTGGCTTTCTATTTGTAGCAAACGCAACCTGACTAAGATTTGTGCGTGTGCTATCACGACAACATGCTATGACTTCTTCCCCAGAAAGCGCTTTGACTGCCTTGTTCCTCCAGAACCAGAACCAGAACCCGATCTAGCCCCTGCGCCCTCGTCAATATCCATCCCAGAACCATGAGGATCAAATTCAAACGAGCCGTCATCGAAGTATCCATCATCATCAAACTCGCGCTTATTGCTCCCACCGCCCCAGAAGTCTCGACTCCGGAAAGCCGCTCCGAGATCTTTTGGTTTCCAGCCCGACTTCTTAGCTCCTTGGTTTCCCGCACCAGCGAAGGGTCCTGCCCCGCCTGTCTCAGCAGATTCATCGTTCCATTTTGCAAGAGTCTTTTCGATCATCACGACTCGGGCGTTTTCCGTTGCGCGGCGTTGTGCGGAGTCAGCTCGGATTTTGGCAATTTCGGCTTCGATGTCGGAGATGACGGTGCCGCAGCGGGATTCCCAGGCCGTTAAGGTTGAGATCATGGTTGGTAGGGAACTGGGCTTGACGTCGCGGAGGGGTGCGACGGATGTTACGTTCACGGTTGGTGGGGTTGTCGCCGGGGAGAGTCTGGCAGTTATGAGGGAAGCATAAATAGCTGCTGTTACGAGGGATTCGAGGTCGGACGGGGCTGAGAGGGAGAGAGACTCCATGAGGATTTCGTAATTGAGTGGTTTTATTGTAGATGCGAGAGAGAGAAGGGTGAGGAGACGGAGCTTGCGAGCTTGTTCATCGCTGAGTGCGGGAAGATTAGGGGTTTTCTGGTAGTCTTGCCATGTCCCCCAGGCGAAGATCTCGAGGAGCGTCAGATACCCTTGGAGCTCGGCGGGGGTGTCCGGGGAGCGGAGCGCTTGAACTGCGGGCCGTTCGAGGAGTTCCGCAAAGACGTAGGTGTGTGGGCTTGCTGTTGCATTTGTGACTATATTTGCGACGTATCGGGGTGAGTTTGCACTACTCGAGTCTGCGAGTGCAATGAAGGGTTGAAGGGCATCCAGCGCCCTGTGGTGTACTTGGTCCATTTGCTGTTTGATATGGCGTCGGGCTATCGGGCCTGTCAGGATTAGATTGCGCTGAATGATTCACATTATGAAAGGCGTACTGGTTTGGTATGCGTGATTAATCTAGGGCCTAATCATATCGAATCGAGCTGTGATGTATAGGCCCAAGTGACAAAGTTGTTTGATAGCTGGTGACGGCCAGTAGCTCCGCAGAGAGCGGGAGGTGTGGTTCAAAGTGTTTGCACCCAATGCAAACCGATCTCTCCACTTGCACATCAAGTGGGGCACTATCCACGTTTACAAAGACTTCAACAGAGGCAACAGTATCAACTGAGCGAGGTCAATTTCTATGTGCTAACTGCGACTCGTAAAATCATCTCTACTTCGGAAATTGACTTTTCTGCAGGTTCCCAGTTGATTCTGAATTCGGGAGACCCGCCCGAGACGAACATACTGATCGACAAGTTCACCTCTCACGCCATTCTCGTTCACAATGAGCTTCGCTTAAGGTTGGATCTAAGCTACGAACCTTCGTCTTGAAGAGAACCAGGAAAAGGGGCACGTTCATGGTCCATGGTGCAGGTTGGTGATTCTTGATCAGGAGAGGTGGTTTCTTGGGAATATGTTCAATTCTTCGAGGCGCACAAGGGCTACACTCTAGGTGAAACGACCACCAGCTGTCAAGTGTTTCGGTGACAGGGAATGCTCCACGAACGCCTCAAGTAGATCAACAAGCGGACTCAACTGATCCCCAAAAACCAATTTCATTTCATCTCGTAATTGGAATGTGCCTGCAGGAAGAAGTGACCACGTACTCTACATTTACAAGCCAAGGCTAGGAGATCCAGATCTTATTCTTCGGAAGTCGAAGACCCTTGGTCAGAGGAGGACATGAGCCGCTGCAGTTTTCCTTCGGACACACGATGTCGCAATAATTGAGCCATTCAACCAATGAATAGAAACGAGGTGGGAATATTATTGACACCCCCAGAAGGCCCTTGCCGGCGATCGTCTGGGTCGCATTGTCACTTGTGATCAAAGCCGCGAGTAAATTACTAAGAGGGCGCCAAGTCCTTCTTGAGACCCGCAGATTCCATCAATCCGCCATCATTCTTCGCCATTTCTGAAGGAATGAGGGCATATGGTCGCATCTGCGCTTGATATGAGCAAGGGCGATCTTTCGATAGTTTCCTCTAGGCAGTGGTTCATCCCTCGGCTCTCCCTTGCTCGGGTCCTCGAACCTCACTGAGAATTGTTCCTATTTAATAACCCGATAGGAGCTGCCGGTGGTGATCGGCGCGATTCATGTAGCGCAGTGTTAATCTGCTAAATCGGCGACAAGTGACGGACGACTGACCCTCCGGCCTCCGCTTCTTCCGCCCCCCATCTGATTTATTATTTCAGGCCTTCCTTGCTCGACTCTTTCGTGACTCAGACTGTCCTTTTCCTTTTCTTCTATTTCAAATCGCGGCTCGCTCTCATGCGGTGACGATAGTATTTTCCGGCTTTTGCCTGTACGTGAAACACGATGGCGGTACCCTATACGATAGCCGCCGGGGATGGCAGTCTCACCCCAACCAGATCCACGTCGCAAATGGCCACCACCACCGTCAGTGTGGAGGGGATGACATGCGGCGCATGTACCTCTGCGGTGGAGGGAGCCTTCAAAGGCGTCGAGGGCGCTGGCGAGGTTTCCGTGAGCTTAATGATGGGCAGGGCCGTTATCCACCACGATCCCACTCTCCTCCCTCCGAACAAAGTCGCCGAGATGATCGAAGATCGCGGTTTCGACGCGGTGGTAATATCTACGGATAGTTCCTCGATTCCAACGCAGGGCGCCGGCGCCCCGAAGGTACTCGAGACAAATTTCGCGACCACAACGTTAGCGATCGAAGGCATGACATGTGGAGCCTGCACCTCTGCGGTAGAAGGCGGTTTAACAGAAAATACTGGAGTACGGTCTGTCAGCATATCGCTGCTCTCGGAGAGAGCGGTAATAGAGCACGACTTGTCTACGATATCAGCCGAACAGCTTGCGGATATAGTTGAAGATCGCGGCTTTGGAGCGAAGGTGCTGGAAACCTCAACGCTCCAAGCTGGTTCTCGTGACTCTCAGGAACCTACAGACCCCTCATCGCAGCAAACCGTCACCACAGTTTCCATTGAGGGAATGACATGTGGTGCATGCACGTCGAGTGTACAAGCGGCTTTCGACGGCGTGGAGGGCCTGGTCCAATTTAATATCAGCCTACTCGCCGAACGAGCGCTAGTCACTCACAATACTCATGTTCTTTCTTCACAGAAGATTGTTGACCTGATCGAGGACGCTGGCTTTGATGCCAAGATTGTCTCTGAGGTCCAAGCCTATGCTCAGAAAAGTGGCATAAGCCGAGTTACGCTTGACCTTCATGGTTTACGAGATGCTAGCTCTGCTGCGGCTCTCGAGGACTTGCTCATGCAGAAGCCGGGCCTTATTTCTGCTTCGGTTACCCTCGCTGCCTCTCAATTAGCGGTCTCATACGACACATCTATACTTGGAATTCGTGGTATTGTTCTTGCGATTGAGGCTGCTGGGTACAATGCCTTGTTAACAGACTCCGACGATAGCAACGCGCAACTGGAGTCTTTAGCGAAGACAAAAGAGGTCCTAGAGTGGAAACGTGCCTTTTTCATTTCACTTTCCTTCGCCATCCCGGTGTTTCTGATCAACATGATACTTCCCATGTATCTGCCAATGCTCGACTTTGGTGGAATTCGAATCATCCCAGGCCTATATCTTGGGGAAGCCGTTTGTCTGCTACTCACAATACCTGTACAATTCGGTATTGGAAAGCGGTTCTATGTCACAAGTTTCAAGTCTTTACGACACCGAGCCCCAACGATGGATGTCCTCATTATGCTTGGCACTTCGGCGGCGTTCTTCTATAGTGTTTTCACAATGGTTTTCGCCATATTCATGGCGCCTCATCACAGGCCTAGCACCGTCTTTGACACAAGTACCATGCTTATCACTTTCATAACGCTTGGTCGCTGGCTAGAGAACAGGGCAAAAGGCCAGACGTCTGCTGCTCTTTCTCGACTCATGTCCCTCGCACCATCAATGACGACCATCTACGATGACCCAATAGCCGCCGAAAAACTAGCTGAGGAATGGGAAAGCATGGACACCGACGAACAAAAACCGAGCTCTTCGAACGAAAGACGCACAGTCGCCCAGAGGGTTATTCCCACCGAACTTATTGAAGTGGGAGACATCATTATACTTCACCCGGGAGATAAAGTCTCCGCTGATGGAATTATCATTCGAGGTGAGACTTACGTTGACGAGAGTATGATCACCGGCGAGGCACTGCCTATCCATAAGACAAAGGGAAGCCTCGTCATCGCAGGGACTGTGAATGGTACCAGTGCAGTTGATTTTAAAGTCATTCGTACTGGCAAGGACACCCAGCTCAGTAAGATTGTCAAGCTAGTACAGGATGCACAAACAAGTCGAGCTTCAATCCAGCGTTTGGCAGATGTCGTCGCCGGCTATTTTGTGCCAACGATTATTAGTCTCGGTTTAGTTACATTCTTTGGCTGGATGTTCGTGAGCCACCTGTTACCCAATCCTCCAAAGATTTTTGTTGCAAAAGAAGGCGGGGGCAAACTCATGGTCTGTCTGAAGCTATGCATTTCGGTCATCGTTTTTGCCTGTCCTTGTGCATTGGGCCTCAGTACTCCCACAGCGGTCATGGTCGGGACTGGAGTTGGTGCAACACAGGGAATCCTCGTCAAAGGCGGTGCTGTGCTTGAGAGCGCTACTAAAATCACCCATGTCGTGTTTGACAAGACTGGTACTTTGACAACAGGGAAAATGAATGTTGCGGAAGCGAAAATTGAGCCCAACTGGACATCAAATGATTGGCGCCGTCGACTTTGGTGGTTGATTGTTGGACTTGCCGAAATGAACAGCGAACATCCCATCGGCAAGACCATCTACTTAGCTGCAAGGAACGAATCAGGACACTCCAGAGAGACTGGTCTACCTGGAAGCCTCGGCGATTTCGACGCCCGTGTTGGTAAAGGCATTTCCGCTCTCGTTGAACCGGCCTCTAGTATCGAACGCGTTCGGTACCGTGTGCTTATTGGAAATGCCGAGTTTCTGAGAGCAAATGACATTCCTATTTCGGAATCCGCCGAGCAAACGTCGGGCTCTAAGAGTTCTCAAGTCGGAATTACCCAAATCCATGTGGCGATTGACGGGCAATTTGCAGGAACACTCCTACTCCAGGATACCGTGAAGACAACCGCCGTGGCTACAGTAGCCGCCCTACATCGGATGGGACTTTCGACATCACTGATTACAGGTGATTCCCATGCAGCAGCTATCTCAATTGCCTCGGCTGTTGGTATTTCACCCGAGGCCGTTCACGCCTCAGTCTCTCCATCCGATAAGCAATCTATTATCGCCTCTCTTGAAGAGACAGGTGACTGTGTCGCCATGGTTGGAGACGGAATCAATGACTCCCCAGCTCTCGCCACCGCATCTGTCGGTATCGCCCTCGCATCAGGCACTGATGTTGCCATGGAGGCGGCGGATATTGTTCTAATGCGGCCCGACGATCTTCTCTCGGTACCTGCAAGTCTTTCCCTTTCTCGTACCGTCTTCAGGCGTATTAAACTCAATCTCGTCTGGGCCTGCGCATACAATGTCATCGGCCTCCCATTCGCGATGGGCCTCTTCCTCCCCTTCGGTGGATTTATGCTCCCACCAATGGCAGCCGGTGCAGCAATGGCTCTTTCCAGTGTTTCTGTCGTCGTCAGCAGTCTTCTTCTCAAGTTCTGGAAAAGACCCTCGTGGATGGATGCAGAGCTTCTTGAGAAGGAAATCAATCTTGCATCAGGCGGCAGCTCCCAAAAGAACTGGTTCGAAGCCACTCTTTTCTCCGTCACCGCGCCTAACACCACGCGTCGCGCTGTGCAATGGACTCAGGGCGCAGCCGCTGGAACGTGGTCATTTATAACTGGGCGTCCTACCCAAACGTCGGGTGTTGAGCCGACCTACGTACCTCTTCAATCAGTGGAGCCGGCAGTTTAGTTATTTTTTTTTTAATGATGTCTTATGACTCGTTTTTGCAGCTTGGATACTGGGTTTTATTATGATTTACTCGCAAGATACCTCTTTCCCGTTGGTGCTTTTTATGCTAGAATATTTCGGGGTACTTA